TTATCTTTCTTACTGTTTAAAGTTCCTTATATATACATTAACAAAATGCAAAATATTTTTCAAAGACTTTACATGATCATGATAAAATAACTAGTTTCTAACAAAGAACTCTTTTCTTGATTATATTTGCCACCATAAAAACATACACAATTTTATATAATTGCCGCCATAAAAACATACAAAATTTTAAATATATTTAATATTGAGAGACTCGTTATATTTTTTAAATTAATAATCACTTTATTTAATAAGGCAAAAAAAATTTCTTCAAAATTATAATTAATATAACTATTAAATAGAAAGGTTCTCAAGTGTATTTTTTTTTTTGATTTAAATAAAAGTTATTTATAAAAGCATATTCAACAAAACATTAACAAGATTAATATTAATGATTATACTGAATATATAGAGATATGTAAAGAATTAATCAAATTAAGAAAATTTTAATAAATTGGTATTACAAATGTAAATTAGTGAATGGTCCCTAATAAATTTTTATTAAAATTTGTTACTAAGTTTATATATTGGGACCAAATTTTGGGGGTCAAAAATCCGAATTCGTAGGAAAAAAAAGTATGTTTATTTAAAGCAAGTACGTTTCTGTGTTTGTTTTCTTAACTAAATTCGCTACTAAGTCCTAGACCGTAAGGATCCGTCATTATACAACCATCAATCCTGATACTTTATAGAGCTCTTAAAAGTCTATAATTAATTACTTTTTGGTACTCCATTTTTTCACTTTTTGAAAGTACAACAAATGCTCAAAAGGACATTATCTTCCACTAAAACCAAAGCACTTTACCAGATTTTGAAAGACAAACATTAAATTTTGCCATTTTTTGTGCTTTATTTATTTACTTCAATTGTTATTCTAAATATTGCCATTTTTCTTTAGTCAATGAATGCAGAAACTTTGCACAAAATCGAAAGCCATCTTTTTTTTCTAGCTACTACTACTGAGGAGCCATCCATAACTGATATTACTTTTTTTTTTAAATATTTTTGACACTCTCTCCCCAGTTACAAAATGTCAAACTTCACCCTTAGCCCTATTTCTTATCACATATCACGCTGCATTACATATACAAATGTCAGCAGTTTAAAAAACAAAGTACACGTTATCCTATTTAAAATTTTATTTTTAAACTTTTAACCGTGTTTTAATGACGATTAATAATAATAATTATACGCATATTATTTAAAGAATAATGATTACATGTATATTTATTTTGCTGAAAAAATTCCCTGTGTTTTCCTTGTACATATTATACACAATATATTAAGAGAAAACACAATTACTGTGCCCGTGTGTCAGATATATTTTACAAACTAGGGTAAACCAACCAGTGAAGGAACATTTCATAAATATTAATTAAAAATAAGAATTTGAAAGTTTTTCTTTAGATTGATTGGTAACAATAGCTTACTGCCAAACAATAGGAAGTCATCCAGCAATGTTTTGGATTACCTGGTCAAATAGACTTCTCTGGAAAAAATTTTGAATTTGTTATTATCTCTGTAACACATTGTTTCTTTGAAAAAATTATAAGGTGAGTGTTTGTATTTACATGTTTGAAAAGGAATTAATCGCATGCAATAGTTTTATTTTTCCCACTGTGAAAAAGAGAATTCAAAATATAGTTATTGAAGTTACGTTTTTTTTTTTTAAGCATCATAGCATAATAAAGTACTGAGATAAGGGGGTGTTTATTCACTGGATCACCAAACGATGAAAAACCAGTGAAGGAACAAGTGTTCCTTTACTGGTTTTTTTTCTAAGTTAATGAAAATAAAAGATAAACTTTAATTTTCTTGTACCTTTAGTGATGTTCCGCATCAAAAGTATGTTAAAAATACGAAAAACAACTTCTAACCAGTGAGGGAACAGGCATGTTCCTTTACTGGGCATAGATTTCCCAGTGAATGAACAGTATGTGTTAATATGTTGACACTTTAATTTTCAATTCATGATTACAAAAAAAAGTTAACATTTTCCAAGTATTTATATGTTATAATTTCAAGAATAGGCTTGTTTTTAAATATTTGTATGGCTTATAAATTCATAAAGAGCATTAAAAAATAACCAAAATTAAGTGTTCCTTTACTGGGTGTTCATTCACTGGTAAGAGCTGTTCCTTCACTGGGTCTTCTTACTACTTGTTATTTGAACCTCCAAAACTTTAAAACAATAATATGTAAGTTCTCTAAATTTTTTTTACATAATTTGCAATTAGTAACAAATATGCTGACACTGTCATTTAACTAAAATTACGAATTTTGAAATTAATATGATTTTTTAAAAGGCAAGCGAAGCTTAAGTGTTCCTTCACTGGTTAGTTTACCCTGTACTAATTTTAATTTAAGGATAAACTTAGAGGAAAAAAAGAACAGATGAGTATACTTAAATAATGCTGTAAGTAAAATAGTTTAGTATAGCTGATATATCATCCTTAAATATCCCATATACAGGGTATCTGATACATTTTAGATTTTCAAATCCATGACTTTCCACGAATAATTCCAAAAATTTTTCAGGACTTACCGAAGTTACTATTCTCCCACAAAAATGCAACAATAAATTTTAAAAAAAGCATTATAATAACATTAATTGAATTCATAGGTACAACCAAAACAGAGTATAACATAATATACTCTGAATCTTCATATTTATTGATTTTAAACTTAAAAAACAGAATAAAGAAACAGTTAAAGCAATAAAATAGCTGGGGAAAAATACAAAAGCAAATGACTAAATACTAAATATGTAGTTATTTAAAGCTGTTTTATTTCTTTTTTAAAGTAAGCGTAATATAAAAAGCCTACATTAGAATTTCAAATTAATAAATTTAGAAAAAATAAAAATAAACAAATAAAAAAAATTCTGAAATCATGGAAATTTAAAAGATAATCCAATCTAGAAATGATGTTCCTTCTTTAATTTTTTGAAAGTACACCCTAATTTTTAAAGAACAAGATAAAAACATTTTATATATTAATAGAATATAACTATGAGTGGGGATTTTGCTACAAATTAAGATATTTGGAACAGCTGAACACAGTGAAATTGGGAGGGAGGGGGTTAAATTCCATTTTAAAAAATTGGATTTTTCAGCGACCTAAACCCATGACTTTCCATAATTTTCTTTCTTAAAAAAATACTTAAAATTATGACATTTCATGGCAAATTTCGTTCAATACCAAAATCCATGACTTTCCATGGTTTTTCTTGGCTTTTGAGATGTACAGATACCCTGCATAGATTACGCTTTGAGTGGTCACCATTTTTTAAAGTACAAAAAAAAAAACACAATTCCCTGTATTTTCCCAGTTAGTTAAGAAAAAAAAATCAAAACTCCATGCATTTTCCCTGTTATTTAAGGTATTTTTTAAATTCCCTGTACTTTCCATATTCTCCCTGTGGAGTGGCAACCCTGGTTGAGACAGTTTATGAAGCATGTGGGGGGGGGGAGGGAACGCCCTAGTTCCTAAATAATCTTTTTGGCAAAAAAAGTGTAACACTAATCTATTAATTACGCTTTTACTTACAAATACTAGCGGTTTGTGCAAAAATATGAATGCTGTGCTTAGTATATTTAATAATTCATACTAGTTTATAAGATTTTCCAAAACTGATATTCCAAGAGCAGGGGTCTGTTTAGAAGAAATTTGGGTCCGTTAACGGACCCTTCACAAAATATTTTAACTTAAAAACGGACCCTGCACAAAATGATTTTTCTTTTAATCGGATCCTTCACAAATTTGTTTATCTTCGTTATTGTTTTGTTGTTAATCGAATATACCCTTCCCAGGGGGGGGGGAAGACAGATGTAAACGAATTAAGTTTTGTCTTCGGCAGATGCTTCTTCCTACATTCGGGCGGAATGAATATTCTGCATTCAGCAGTATAGGCTAAATACCAAATATTTGTATGCTGCATCTCTAATTTTAAAGCAGCAATTGCTGTTTATTTCTGAAAATTTTATTTTTTTTTAACTATAGTTTTACAGTGTTGAGCATAATCTTGTATCTATTTACAATTTAAAAACTCCTTGTAAAGTTTTTTGCAATAACAGGACCCTATTTGTACAAATTCATAAAAGCAGGATCCTGGTTGAAAGAATGTGACTTAATGTGTATTTTATATTCACAAATTACGAGTAATTTTTTCACAATTTTACAAAAACGGACCTATCACAAAATGTCTGGACAGACCCCTGAGGAATGAAAAGAAAAAACTTGCTCAAATCATTTTCGATACGAAAGAGATCNTTGAATGAATAATTATGTGTAAGTTTACTTTTATCTCTAATTACATTTATTATTCTACCAGAAGAAATATTTACAAATGAAAGAGATGCCAAGAATAAATTCTAGTTCTAATATTTTTAAATAAAATATACAAGAATTTTTATATATAAATGTGATCAATGTTTTCTTGAAACTTCTGGACTTTGGATTTCCGGAAACTTTAAAAAAATCCGGAAATTTAGATTTTTCCCGGAGCACAATCACCCCTGAAATCATGACCAGTTTATGGCAAATTTTGTTCAATGCTGAAATCCATGACTTTCCAGGTGCGCAGATACCCTTCATAGATTACACTTTAAGGGGTCAAAATATTTTAAAATACGAAAATAAACAGAATTTCCTATATTTCCCCAGTTTGCAAAGAAAAAAAATCAAGACTCCTTGCATTTTCCCTGTTATTTAAGGTGATTTTTAAATTCCCTGCATTTCCAGGTTTTCGCTATTCTCCCTGAGGAGTGGCAATCCTGATTGAGTCAGTTTAACCAGCAGGGGGTGAAATGCCCTAGTTCCTAAATAATCTTTTTGGCAAAAAAAAATGTAACACTAATATGGTAATTACATTCTTGCTTATAAATACCAGGGGTCTGAGCAAAAATATGAATGCTGTGCTTATTATATTTAATAATTCATACTAGTTTATATAATTTTCCAAAACTGATATTCCAAGAATGAAAAGAAAAAACTTGCTCAACTCATTTTCAATATGAAAGAGATCACAGCTTTATTAATAACAAGAAAAAAAAGAATAAAAATAAATATTTACAAGATATTTTTTTACATGCTTGAATGGATTTGTCTTCTTTTCCTATCGATGTAAAGTTCAGCATCCATTTCCCTGAAATGAGTATCTTCAGTTTGCTCAACAATCACTTTCTGCATAAAGCGGATTTCATTCTTCAACGTTTCTCGGAACTCTCTCTCTGCCTTGGCCTATTTAGGAGATAGGAATAGTAAAGTTAGACCATCAGTTAGACCTTAAGATGACACTAAAAAAAGAAAATTACTAAAATAAAAATGCAATAAATAACGACAACTATAGTTTGTCTATGGTAAGAACTCCCCCGCTACAAAGTCTGAGGCCATCTGCTGCTATGGAAATAGTACATTTCAGGGAGGATAGCTTCTCTTCACTCTGGGTCTAACACAGTGGACCGGTCACTGTCTTGGGTTTTGCTACAAATTTGTAGACTGAAATACTTTTGTTCTGTAGTTTATGGAAAGCAGAATTGATTGAACAACAAGTTACCAAATAACAAGTTTTTAAGAGAAAATGAAATGAATTACAACACCTTTTGATCACACTGAAAACAATGAATGGCGATTTAGATAACTTAGAGGAATGATAGATAGGTGATGAACAAAAGCTGCATTCTTATTCCTTTTATGATTGGAAATTTATTTATTTTTGGGAAGAAAACTTAGTTGGTGATTGCCCACAAATTGCTTTATAAAAAGTTTTAACTGGTAAGAATGAAACAGGGCTAGATTTGTGCTTATCTGTATTAATACCATAAATGAATAAAAAAATATCCATTTAAACCTTTTTTTGTGTTTAATATTGTTTAATTTAACAGCGGTAAAAAGTACTTAATCATTTTTTTCCTGGTGATAATGGAAGGCTAGAAATGTTTAACTCGTTATAAACATAGAGTTTTTGCTTCTTTGATATTTAAATTTCAACTGTGACTAGGAAATTTGTCTCACAATGTGCCATGCACCTTACATCAAGCTATAACAGTATATAGAAGTATTAAATAATGTAACCTATATTCACTGTTCAATTTTAAAATATATTTAAACTTGTTCTTGAACACATCACACACACAAAAAGCTTCTGACAATGTGTCATGCGCATTATATTGAGCTTTAATCGTATACAGAAGGTGGTGTAAACTTGCCTGAAATGGTGTAAACTAGTATTCATAATACATTTTCAATTATATTTAAACTTGTTTATCTCAGATTACAAAGCATCACTCATTTATCAAAATTTAATTATTTAGTTATTTGAAATTTATTTAATTGAAATCAAGATTCAGTAAATCTTAGAAACTTAAATCCACAAAACATTTCAATAAATTTGTCGCTTAAAAATTTATTTAAGAACTCCCTTTATACAAAAATAAAGCATCAAACAATTTATTCAAGAAATTATATTAAAGTTTAAAAAATTTATGTAAGAACTCCTCTTATACAAAAGTGAAAAAAAGTGCAACTTGCCAGTCTTTCAGCATTAAGTCTTGATTGTGCATCACTTTTCTCATTCGCTATTTCCTCAGAAAGAGCTAAATATTGTGACTGATATCTAAAAACAGAGTAAAGGTATGATTTCATTTAATATAAACAAAGTCATATTTGTAAAAAAAAAATATTAAANAAACATATATATATATGTTAACAAAATGCAAAATAGTTGTCTAAGTTACATGATCATGATAAAATAACTAGTTTCTGACAAAGAATTCTTTTCGTGATTACATTAGCCACCATAAAAACAATTTTAAATACATTCATTATTGAGTGAATCATTCAATTTTTTAAATTTGTAATTACTTTACACAATTATGTAAAAAAATTATTCAAAATTATAAATAATTAATTTAACAATTATTTATACAGATTATTTCTCTTGCAAAATGCAGCAGAGTTGCTCATGAGAATGCATGAATCCTTCCCACCGAACCCAGCTCAGTATTCGAACACACAAGTATTTCATAAAATGATTGGCGCTTTCATACGCTACTGACCAATGGTATGTTGAAATAGATTGTGGCTGAATGAATTATGAAAAAATTGAATAGAACAATGTGGAAAACACGTTTTTTGCATAATTCGAGGCAAAAATTGATATGGTAAAGAAAATAATCTCATTCTGGAAAAAGGAAAATTAAGCACTTTTTAAAAACACCCAAAGAAAAACAGCATCTTAAAGGGCTTTTAAAAAACGAAAGTCGAAAATAAGCACCTATAAGCACTTTTTAAAAACGCTACATACCCTGAAAATGACAATCAGTTGCCCATCAATATCAAACAAAAATTTACTTTTTGAAAAAAAATAAAGGATACAAGTTTTCCAAAGAACATAGGTAATTTAAATATTGCTCATCATCCTTTATCTTGGCATCCTTCATTTGTTCACACAAATAATCAATATGTTCACTCTGAATATCCATTATTTCTTCAAAAACGTTCTTAAATATCTGAAACGGTAAATCTCTTTAATTTATCAACACAAAAATATAATAAGATTTTAGAATTATAAAAATATACAACTTATAATTAAAATGAAACTAAAATAATTGAACCTTTCAAAGATTCTTAAACATCAACTTTTGCTTTAAAATTTCCATTTCTTTAAAAATTTTAATGAGAAAAGAGGATGTTCATGTTGATTTATGTTATGGAATCAATCTTTTAAAGAGAAGAAAATTGAAAATGATCTGAGATAGAAATTTTCCACACAACTCCAAGCATTCAAAACAATCATTGAACAAAATAGCTAAAAACACAAGGGGAGTCACCGTGGCCCAGAGGAAAGAGCACTAGCATCCCAAATGAGCTGACCCAGATCCATCTAATTCAATTACAAACCTACTGAGACAAACATTGAATAAACATATACCCAAAAATGGGTCCTTTGTTTAACGCCGGTTATGAAACAAACACATACTGACTAGCTGCAATACTGAAACTTCTTTCTATTAGTTAAAGAATACATTTCTTATGCTTAAAAAATTATATTAGGAACAATACAATTAAATTGATTAAAAATTCAGTATCTTATTTTTAGAAGTGTCAGTAGGAGGCTTTGTGGGAATGAAATTTGGAGTTTAGTGGCAGAACTGTTTGTTATGCATCTAACTTAAACAGCATTAGGTACTAAAAGTAATTAAATCAAATGGCGCCATAAACTAAAACTGACGAAAAAAAGGAAAAGTAACTACTGGGGAAAAGATTATGATAGGAAAGTAAGCCTAATTTTCCAAATAAGAGGTCATTCATTTGTGAAAAATCCTGCTTTTATGAAATTGTGAAAAATCTCATTTATAATATTGTGAATCTAAAAAAGCCCATGAATAAAAATAAACTTATAGTTCACTATTGCTGAGTGATATTTTTGGGCAATCACACTGAGACATTAAAAATGAACATACTATTTTTTTTCTAAAAATATGATATAAACAACTTTCAGTTAAAAAGCACCAGTTAGGTATCTGAAAGAAGCAGTTGTTGCAATGATCTCATAAATATATTAGTCAAGTGAAGTGCAGATAGTACTTCCAAATTTGAAATAATAAATTAAATTATACGGTGGCCGGGATAGCCTGGTTGGCAGGGTGCTGGACTCATGTTCGTGAGAACTTGAGTTTGAATCCAACTGGCCGAAGACTCCTGTGTAGTAAATGATGACAGGTGCATATTAAATCTGTCGGGTCACAAAGTCCTCCATGGTCCCATAACAAATTATACTCTGGGAAACTGAATTGGAGATTGATCGTTCTCTGGTTCAGGTCAAAATTACAATCTATGGATGAATGAATGGGTTCATCCTATAGACGGGTGTGACATATGGGTGTGGCAGTAGTTGAATTCTTGGCCACAGATAGCACCAATACAAAACAAGAACAATCACACCCCTTGCCTCAAATGTCTCACGTCAACAACAACAAATAATAATGGTTATGAAATACTGACCAGTTCCTCTTTAATATTTTTCTTCATCATCTTTTTCCTCATATCTACAATAAATTCATCAGAATACTGTTTCATTTTTGCAGATCTCATTCTTGAATCTCTCAAACTGTACTTTATTTTCCTTTCATTTTCTTTCTCCTCCTTCATTTTCTTCTGAAATCATATTTGAAACAGAAATGAGTCATTTACAAGGACGGCAAATAAATGCATCTTATACTAAATTACTATTTATAAAATGCAAGTTAACAATAGCAGAGGTCTGTCTAGGTTTTTTTAAGATAGGGGTGCACAACCTGTGGCTTGCGAGTCACATGAGGCCCGACGACTGTTGATGTGCGGCCCGCAGAAACTTCTGAACTCAAAAAAATATTTCTTTTCATTTGTTTTTTTTTAAAAACATTATAAATTTTTTTAAATAAAATATTTAATTCAAATTTATATCAATTTACATTATTCTTTTGGTTAGAATCTAGGTATATCTCCCCAATATATATATATATATATATATTTAATAAATTAATTATTGAGAAAAATGGAAAAAGCTATTTTTAGTTTAAAATAATTGAAATAATTAAAAATATTTAATTTTCTGCAAACATGTTATTAAATTTACTGACGAAAATATTTAATGCTTAGAACACTAATGTTTATAAAAAAATTATCATAGTTGCTGTTAACATAGCTAAATATATGTGCGGCCCTTCACTCAAAAAGGTTGTGCACCCTTATTTTAAGAGGTACCTTTTTTGGGAAAATTTAGACCTAATTTGTGAAAATTAAATATTTTATTAAAAAATCAACACAAAAATATGGTAAAGTAAAAAAATATTTTCAAAAATTGACACTGCAAATAAAATCCTTTATGACTGGTAAATTTCTATATATTTTTCCCTATACATTAAAAAACAATTATGCTATTGTAAAATTAGGGCTAAAAAATTGTATCCAAATTTCAAAATCCATTAAAAACAATGTCCATAGTTAAATTTCAACTTGATTTTAATAAAAACATGCATTTAACAGAACTAGTACTAAACGTTATTTTATTATGAGAACATTTTAAACTGCATCATACAGAAAAAAGCTTCACAGAGAAAAAAAAAATGGTTCATAAAAAAATAAAGGAGTGCAAGAATAAATTTACTCTAGTGTTTAAGATAATGCTTGAATTTTGACTTTCTGTAAAGTTTATAGAGGGAGAAAATCGTTGTTTCATTTTAAACAAACTCAGCGGGGAAAAAAATTCACTGTGATATGGCATAAATTATTGGCTAGGCTCACCACATTGAACTATCTTATCAAACACTTGCTACCTTTTCATCGAAGACAGTCGGCAGAAAAGCTCCTATTTTCTATAAATTGCAATGAGAATGGGGTTCGCCTGAGTACTTGTTTTTTAAGTTGAATTTGTGAAGGTACTGCTAAACGGTAGTAAATTTACCCTGGACAGAACCCTGAATAGCTTACATTTGCAGAGTAAGCTAAGTCTTTTTTACACATAAAATTCAAAGTAAAATTTTCTTATTAAACATTTAGTTAAGTTAAAAATAAAGAGAAAGAAAATTATAATAGTGCAATTATAATAGTGCAGTCATAAATGCAAGTTATCAAAAGAGACTTTGTCGGATAGGAAATTTTTCTCTTAGTTTGTCATTTAACCAAAACAGATTGAACACCGAAGTTGAAGCAGATCCTATTTATAAAACCTTTGTGATATATCATTCTTTTACAACAAAAAAATACTTTTAAATAATTTATGATTATTTTCAAATACGAACTACTTACAAGAATATATTTTTAAAATATATTTGCAATTAATTTTTAAAACAAATTTATAACCAATTTTATCAATTAATTTTTAAAACAAATTTATAGCCAATTTTTAAAATATATTTATAACTATCATGTGTGTTTCCTCATATGCAAAATTGGAAACAAGTAAACATGTAACAAAACATGCAACTTCAATACAAATTTTTTAAAGTAAAAAAAAAAAGAAAGAAAATTTCTGTGAAAATTTTTAAATTAAAGGCTTTTACCATTTAAAACATGAATAATCTTAATTTTAAAAAATTTAATATATTTAATTTTATAAATATATTTAACTTTTTTAGTAATTAAATATATTTATAAAATATATATTTATAAATATATTTAATCTTAATTTTAAAAAATTTAATATATATTTAATTTTAAAAACATATACAATTTTTTTAATACATTAACTATTAACATGAATAAATATTTAAAATATATTTGTAATTAATTTTTAAAACAAATTTATAACCAATTTTTAAAACAAGTTTAAAAATTAAATTTTCAAAATATATTTATAACTATCTTGAGTAAAATTGAAAACATGTAAACATGTGACAAAACATGCAACTTTAATATAAATTTTTTTTAAAAGTAAAAGAAAGAAAAGGAAAGAAAAATAATTTAATTGAAAATTTTTAAATTAAAAGCCTTAAGCATTTAAAACATGAATAATCTTAATTTAAGAATGACATGTATACACTAAATTTTTATAAATTTATAAAGCATTAAAAGGTAATAATGCTTTTATAAAATGATGATAAAAATTTTTTTTAGGTATTTAATTTTATTTTTTCAGAAGAAATAAGAAAAATATGCTCATTCACTAAAATTACTTGCATGCACCAAATTTGTAAAGCATTAAAAGGTTATATGTTTAAAGGAAACCTTAAAATTTATTTCTCAAAACTGTCAAGTTATTGTAAAAGTTACAAGTCTAAAATTTTTAAAAAAATGCGTGTGAGTGATTCTGTTATATATCTGCTAGCTTTTTAGACAATTATTCAAAGAATTTGCATATGATTTTCGAAATATCAATTTTGTTTCGATATAGCAACAGGTGAATTTCAAATTATGCTATTGAGTTATCTTTTCTTCTATGGTTTCAATTGAGGCTTGAATTTTGAAGGTTATATCCTATTTATAACTTGTGTAAATTACATCTTGAAATTTAGATGCTTTTTAAAGCTGTGTAAATTATTTTATTAAAGTAAATTCTGTAGTTTTTACATATTGATTTAAATCACAATAACTTTAATTTGGACGAACTAAAGTTTTGTATATTTAAAATTTATGAAAATTATTATTTATTTATGTTGACTACTAACCCATAATAATTTACCTGGTTTTTATTAAAACAATATTTTCACCATTATATCTATAGACAGGTATATTTCACATACAAAAAAAAATTTCTCTTTAATCAAGTAACCAATTTTTGTGACATAAAAATTAAAATATACAAAATACTCAATTAAAAAATAACAATGCAAAATTATTAATGAAGTTAGAACAAAATATAACCAAAGTTATTGTTTTATAATTAACAATTAATAAAATATATTAATACATATTTGCTTTATTATTTTGCTCAAATAAGAAATTATTCTATAATTCTAGCCACTAGTATCAAAATTAATTATTGTTTAAATTATCAAATTCAATCAACAAAAAAACTTTAGATAACATATATAGATGTTTTAACAGGGTTCCCACTCATTTTCAGAAAAAAAATTCCCTGACTTTTTCAGGTACAGCAGGTAAATTTCAATGAAAATTGAGATCATATTTTCGACAGAAAACTTTGATTCTTTTATTTATAATGTGAAATGCTAGATTTTCTTTATAAAAAAATTATTATTAAACAAAGAAGGGAAAATTTCAGTTTGATGAAAATGTGAAATTTTTACAACAAATAACTGTAATAGATGCTAGAATTATTTAACTTGAATCTCAATAACTGATTATTATTACTGAGAATTTTAAGACTGGTTATTTTCCAGGAATAATATAGGAATATTCCAGGTTTTTGTAAAAAAAATTGCAACTTTCCCTGACTATTCTCTGATTTTTAGAGTTAAAATAAAATTCCCTGATAACTCCAGGCTCTCCCTGACTCGTGTAAACCCTGATTTTCTTCCCTTTCTAAATGACTTGAGAAATAAAGGTAAATCAATCCTAAAGATGGTTTTAAAAATATTACAAAAAGTAGGAAACAATAGGAAAAAAAGGATACTAGAATAAGAAAAATAGGATGCATTATTGCTTCAGAAATCATACTATACGTTACCAAATAGTGTTGCTGCGATATATCTTTCTTAAGGATTTCAACTAACTTCAACTGCCTTTTAGAAATATTTTCTGCCTAGAAAGAATAAAAATTAATGGTTATCAAAATGCCTCAAACAAAATAATCTCTTTAACAAAAATAAATATTACAGAAGGCATTGAGGTTGGTAGGTAAGTATTTTATTTATGTCGCTCTAAAGCTGCACAATGGGCTGTTGGCGACAATCTGGGAAACATTCCAGAGTATGATCCAAAGACATGCCATCACAACTTTGATCCTCTGCAGAAGGGGTGGCTCCTCCTCTTCTGACAACCTGCATGCGAAGTCGATCACTTTACAATAGAACAGTTTAATGAGGATTAATATCATGCACCCTCGGTCTTTAAGTACACTTATCAAAGTGGTCACCCACCCGCTTACTGACCACAGTCAGTGATTCTTGATTTCCGTGTTCTACTGGGAACCATGTCTTCATAATCAGCTAACAGTGAGACCAGTATACATTGAACATAATAGCTTTCAGCAATTAACCAAGGAGTTCTTGTAATTATGACATTAGTTTCTAGATCAATTAGTAGGCAATAAAATTAAGTTTAAGAATTCTTGTTAGCACTTGTTGAATTACTCTAATTCAACAGATTATTTTCATGAAAGAAAATGGCACGAGAAAAATTAATTCTAAATCAAGTCAACAGGTGATACGGAGTTACAAAATGTCAGAAAGTAATTTTACCATAGAAATTCTTTTTTAATACTGTGATGAGAGTGTCTCAAGGGTAAAAAAATCCTGAAAGGGTTTCTACCTCCAGTGGTATCTAGTGGCGCTAGATTACCGAAAAATCAGATTATTTTGACTTAAAATTGTATTTTTGGAATAAGGCTAAAAAATTGGAAAGAATAAGATTTAATCAGAACAGTTGGCAGCTGTGGGTTCCCCTATTCACAGTTCAGTGATTTCCACTTGCAGTCACCTGTGGAAAACTGAAGAACTAATTCAGAGCAGAAAAAATTTTCACACCTCGAGGAAAAACATCTTTTAACAATATGTCCTTTTAAATATTGTTAGCAATTGAAATCAATTAGGTACTTAAATGTTTCTTGTTTTTTTTTAAATTGTGAATACAACTTAAGAAGCGAACGCACTATGAAAATGCATTTATATAAAACATTGAGCAGTATTGGAACAGTGTGCATAATTAAAAAAAATTAAAATAACTTCTCCTGTAGAATAGCATGGAGTCCTAAATTGAAGCTGACAATGGTGCCAACAGTATTAATAAAGTAACAAATAAAGTATTCATTCAAAATTGAGTGAAGTTTTCATATTAATATAAATTCACAAAAAAATTGAAAATTTTAAATTCAAAAATACCGTGGTGGAAGCACAGTGAAATGGCGACATTGTCGGTGAACGTCACTGAGCTTTTGCAGAAAGATTTTTCTTTTGAAAACCAAATCATCATCATCATCATCAATGGCTCAACAGCCCAGGGTAGGCCCTGGCCCTTCCAAGAAAGTTTTTCCAGGCTAACCTTTTACCTGCTAGTGTTTTCCAGTTTTTAAGACCAAAAGGACTTTTTCTAGGCCATCTATCCATCTCAAATTCAGCCTGCCTCTTTTTCGTGTCCCAACTGGTCTGGCATTGAAAACTCTTTTTGTGATACGGTCTTCATCCATTCTGATAACGTAGCCAGCCCATTTTATTCTTTGTTGCTTAATAAAGTTAATAATGACAGGTTCATTAGATGAGTGATAAAGCTCTAGATTTTATTTTGAAAAGCAAATAGTTTTACTTTTCTTTTCTAGAGAAATTTACTCGCAGTATTTAAATCATGCATCTAGATAATCACTTTTTGATGCGCTCAATTTACGCCAATAGTATTGTAAATCGATGTAATGTTTCAATTGTATTTTTGGCTGTTATTGATATTGATTTTTATGAAGTTTTTAAATACCTTAATATATTTTAAACAATATGGAAAACTGAAATTGTGCATTTGAGTATTTACTTATAAGGCACAATTTTTTTTGTTGCAGTTATTGCTAATGATTTCTCCATAATTTTTGAATCCGATATTTTTTATAAAATATTATTTATTACAACAACCTAATCTCGAAACGAAACACAAATTAGAGGACTTCAATTTGCCTGATTAAGTCGTCCATCCTTTTTTTGGCAATTAATACTATGGATTTCATGATTTTCAGTTATTTTTTTATTGGGATGATTATTTACAAAATGCGAAGAAGGAAATAATAAGTGCCTTCTCCCCAACAAAATGCAAGTATATTACCCATAATATTAGAATAAAAAATTATTACATTATAAAAAAATATATACTATAGTTTTTTTTTATAAACATAGCGCTCCTGTTATTTTAAATTAGTAACATACATTTAAAGTATCTTTCAGAAAGATATTAGTGCTAGAGAGTTTTGTCGTAGATAGCTGGAAAAAATTCTGCCACAGGGTTCAGAAAAGTTTCAAATTTAAATCAATCAAAGCTCACAAACTTTAATCGAAGCTTTGGTCCTCTTCAGCAGGCACTCTTTCATAAGCTTGTGCATTCCGATGAGATGATGTGCGTACTTTCTCTCAATGTTCTTCATCAGAGAGGGTGATATCTGAATGCAGGGAAACTCATCCAGAAGTTCTTGAATAAATTTTGTTTGACTCCTCGTTCCTTCTAATAACAAACGAACAAAAAAACAGTTTAATTATATAAAAAAATTTTTTCATTGTTTTTAAAGTTCAACATGATTTTGAGTTAACCTAAAATTGATTAAAGTTAAACCTCTTCTTTTTTTTTTGCTGTTGCAATGAGGCTATTAAACTTTTACTTTAACCACAATAAAATAACTATCAACTGAACCAGCAATTAATATAACAAGTATCCAAATACTAAATTATTGTCTCTAATTTCATAGGTCATTTTTAAACAAGAAAATGTGAAAATTCTTCTTTAACCAAAAAATTATTATTAGTGCCAACAAAGTATTCTTAAGTTTTCTTAAATGAGCCGACCTAGTGGCCGAGTGGTTAGCGTGCCTGACTGCCGAGCCGCTGGTCGCGGGTTCGAATCCTGCTCAGGGCATGGATGTTTCTTTCTCTCTGTGTTCTATGTCCTTTCTCCTTTGTGTGTGATTGTGTGAATGTGACCAGCCCTATAAACGGATTTGTAGTTGTGTGACGTGGGCGACGATGCTCCACTGCCGTGGCTTCGGCACAGGTGTCCACTGGGTAAAGAGAAGAGAGTAGCAGTTCTGGCATTTCCGTGGCCAATGGGACAACTCCCAAGTGCCCGCCATTAGAAAGAAGTTTTCTTAAATGAAAAGAACATATAAATTTTAATTGAAAAAATTTTATGATTAAATTTATTTTGAAAATCAAATTTATTCTTCATAAAACATTTTTTTCACTCCAAATATTGATTTTCAAACAAATTTAATTTCATAATAATAAAATATTTAAAATTTTAATGTTCTTGGAGGTCAAATGGATGGACTATATCTCCTCTCAACAGTCAAATAAAAAACTGCTAAATATCAGTAGTGAACTTATTCAAGTTTCATTTTAGAATTTCATTGGTATGTATATTTTATCAATTTTATTTATACACACCTGCCAACATTGGAGAAATAAAATAACGGAGATTTTAATAGCGACATTTTTTAGGCTAAGCATAAAGTTTTGATACATCATACATAATCATGTAAGTCAGAAAGAGAAATTCAAAATTGGAAATATAAGCACTTACATTGAGCGAAGTAAAAAATATGTATAAAACTCTTAATCTAAAGATTTTTTTAAACCATTATTTATAATTACTCAAAACAATTTTATAATCATTGCCAATTAGCCAACGCAATTTTGGGCTTACTGCTACTAATGTTCAACTCCGTAGCCTTGTAATTTTGAACTCAATCCAAAAGACATGGAAATTCCTGGATCAATTTAGTATGGGGAGAAATTTGCCTTCATGGAGGACTTTTTGATGGAACTAAAAAGCATTTGTGTTACATAGAGAGGAAAACCACGAAAATGTCCCAAAGTTAGGCTGACCGTAAGGGGTGCTTAAATAATTAATTCTAAACATAGTGCAGTACTGGCAATAGCACTATCTGTTGAGGAAGAAGATAAGTATTTTTGTCATCAGCGGATATTTCATTGACATTTTTTTTAAATTTCTTCAACAAATACGGAGAAATTTGAGAATATACTTTTAAATAGGAGATAGTCAGAAGTTTTCGTCATAAAACTGGAGACTTGGCAGGTATGTTTATTCAGTGAACTCTCACTACTACAATATCCAATACAACAATAACTTCCTATATTACGATGTTTCGTCGTCCCGACAAACTTGCATATGAATTAATGTCACGCTCAATGTCAATATACTACGATATTCTCTGAAGCAATAAACCCCTCTAAAACGATTTTTTTCTTTCAAATTTGAACCTTATTTTCTCCACTTATTATTGGTTTTCAAATAATGTAAAAAATCTTATTTTATCATCTTTTGCCATTTTTTCCAGAAGACTCACTGCTGATCACCGCAAGAACTTCCATTCTTAAAATTGCCTCCCTTATCTCTTTTAGAAGTCACAGTTGTAACATTCCTATCTGATTTCATTCCCTTCGTATTAAAAGCTAATCATGAGTCACAAATGACCACAAGCATTACATTAACACCTTAAAATACTTTTTTCCGTAGAGGGTGGATAGAGCACCATTCACAAACAAAAATCATTTTTGTGGTTTGGACTCAATGCATACTTTGTTGGTTGACTTGACAGTAAAAAAAAAATGAATAAACAAATAAAAATATCAGATTGTTTTCAATAAAAACGATTTTCAGGTATGTTAACAATCTAATTTTCTGAACTTATTTCAGTCATTTTTTAATATTTAACCATAATTAACACTCAGCAAATAAATTTTTTGAATAATATATAAATACATTTATAGTTATTACATATATAACATTAAAATTTAAAAAAAATCTTATTGTGTCCCCAAAGTAAGCAGGCCCCTCGATATTGCAACATATGCATTTACAACAATATATTTATTTGGTCTCCAAAATTATTGTTGTAGTGAGGTTTTATTGTATTTGCATGTTTGCACATTTAAAACATGTACACAATGAAAATTATTAATTTCCTTGTGTGTGAGAGTTAATCTACTAACCTTTATGTGACCTTTCTAGATTTTGTGATTTTTCTATGGAAATGTTCTTTAATGGTGGATGCTTTGAATGTTTTTTTCTAGGTAAGAGATCTGCAACAAAATTTGAAAAATTCATTCATATATTATAAAAGTAATAAAGGAAAGCTTGCTTGGATAAATATGTTCAAAAGAACAAACCGTAACAAAAGCTACAAACCGTAACAAAAATTTTCAACAAAGACACTTACAAGATTTATTACAATAATAAGGATAAGTTGACTTCTTTAATGGTTTGTTTGAATGTTGAGGGCGATGCCTTTCCTAAAATTAAATTAAAAAACACAATGAGTCAGGGCTGTTTGTACCTCGGAAAAGGAAAAAAAAAAGTTTTTGGAAGAAATAAAATATATATGAATATCAAGACTTATTAACAGAATGCATGAAACAGTCATACTTAATACATACAAACATATATACATACACTGGAGTAAGAAATTAAGAGAATTTGCAGACTTCATCGATTATCTCCAGAACTACTGGACTGATTCTAATGAAATATGATACGTAGATACATTAATATTAATACGAAACAAATAATCATTCAACAACTGTAATACACACTTATGATCGTGCATAACACTCGTAGGAGTTGGAAGGCATTAAATGGCAACAGGACAATTCATGCCAATTGCCACAGGAAATGATAAACTGCCTTATTTCAAGTATGTAATCACGATGTAAGGCCTGTAAATGTGTAAGAGGGGACCCTACCCCTATTAACCCATTTTTTGTTTATTCTGCAACCGGTGTCCCATCCCAACGAGTGTTACGCACGATGATGCAAGTGTATTGCAATTGTTGAATGGTTATTTGTTTTGTATTGTATCAATGTATGTACACATCAAATTTCATTAAAATCGGTCCAGTAGTTCTAGAAATAATCAACCAATTCTGCAAATTCTCTTAATTTCTTACACTAGTATATATATACATAACATACAACATATACAGTAGGGAACCGATTATCCGGAACGATCGGGACCATCGCTATTCCGGATAACTGATTTTTCCGGTTTTCTGAATCGCTGCAAAAAGCCGTTTTTTTTTATTGTTAAACCCAACTAAAAAAAAAAAATTTTCGAAATAATCCTGAAAAGAAGAAAAAACGATGAAGTAATACACTAATGATTATTTCCAAAATGATGGTAAGGTAAACATCTTTCAAAAAAGAAAGAAAAATCCTAAAATCTTATGAGGAAAAAAATTTTTTTTTAAAAAATATGGCGGGAAAATTTTTTTGAATTTCCTTCCGGTTTTTTGGCTTTCCGGTTTTCTGATTTCCGGATAACGGGTTCTGTACTGTATAACTATGTATACATAGATGCCAATTGAGAAATCTAAACGCATTACAAAGCTTTGAGTGATAACAAAATGACAATTAAAACTATCTTATTTGTTTAATTTGGCCAGCACTTAAAAACTTCACATCTAGATTCAAGGGTCTCGATAACTATCTAAATATATCTGTTAAAACTGATTGCAGATAGTGCTGGTAAAAATCATTGTAAATCAAATTCAAAAATAGCATTGCAAAATTTATTTTTATTTTTAATAAGTATGAAAGTAAATATGCATGAAAGTAAGAACTTTTAATATACATGAAAATTGGCCTATAATAAAGGTCACCATATGAAATATCTTGCTAAATAATAATCTCTCGTTTAAGTAGAATAATTTGACATGTATGTGTGAGGCCACAATAGGCATTAGACATTTCCTAACTTTAATAATTTTTTAAATTTATTTTTTAATCTTTCTTAATTGAATTTCAATTAAATTAAACCGATTATTTAATTTACATTACATATTATAAAAAGCGAATATAAAATATTTTATTCCTTTCTTATAAATTAAAGTAAGGGCTAACTTTTTACTTCAATACTAATGTAAGACTCATTAATTCACTATCACAACTAAATGGAAAACAAAAATCTATTTATAACTCTTTATTTCTTACCACAAAAATGTTTTAGTTATGGTTTAGTTAAATGTCTAGTTTACATGGTTATATTGATTCTCACAGTCTTTTTGGTGATTCAATTTAGCTTAATTATTTTCAAATTTAATATTGATTATGGGGGGGTCGCCTTTATTTTTGGCTATGTTATCTTTCAACTATGGATCCCTTCCCATGCTCCTAACTGTCCGTTGGGAATAATTTAATTTACTTTTAGTTTCTAATCTTTGCTGACTGGTCTTATTTACATGGTTATACTAACATCCACAGTCTTTTTGGCGATTCTTTTAAGCCAAATTATTTTCAAATTTAATATTGATTATGGCTTTACTTTTGGCTATGTTATCTTTCAATAAATTGACAACTATGGATCTCTTCCCATGCTCCTAACTGTCCATTGGGAATAATTCAATTTATTTTTAGTTTCTAATCATTGGCGACAGGACCGGATGCTTTGGCCTCCTGATCTTTACAAAATATTTTTGATGTGAAGAGAATGATTTTCTTGATCGCTTTGAGGGACTTCTTTTCTTTATTATTTAGAATTTTGGAATGTGGCCATGGATCTCTTCCCATACTCCTAACTATCCATTGGGAACAATTCAATTAATTTTAATTTTAAATCATCGGCAATTGACAATATTTACTTATAAAATAAATTTTTCCTAAACAATTTTATTCATTTTTCTGAGATAAATATCCCTACATCTTATTCAAATTAAAATATATCTGAATATATCCTACAAAGAAGCTGCATCCCACTAACCTAAGAATTTGGACAAAAACTGCTGCTACAGTATATATGTGCAAAAATGTCAACTGCTCTGCTTTCAGCAAAATATTTTAAAGAAATATTCATATGGTATAATCAAATATGTATTACCATTTTTTTCTTCATAGAGGTGCTTCTCACATACAGACTACTTTTTTGTGACTAGACTTTAATGGGTAAATCTATAAAAAATACTAATCTATATAAGGATGACTTCTTTTTTTTTTAATTGTCATTACTTTATGTTTTTCTACAGCTATGTAATGTAAATTTTGGGCACTTCATCTTACTAACATTGATTTTATCCTTCAATGTCAAACAATTTTTCCTCCAATTATCACCTACCTACAAGAGTAATTCCTTCGATTTGTATAAAATGAAAGTTACATAGCTGTAAACTTGGATAGGAAAAAATCCAGTAGATTTTACGAAATAATAAAAATTTCATGATGATTGTGGCAGAATGTACTAAATATTTCACACATAAGGAATTTTGGTGATTTTTATAGTGACCAAAGTAGAAAAATTGCAATATTTTCCAGTTATGATTGACATTACACACATTTGAAATGTTATGTATACTCATAATTTCGAATATTAAAAGGCATTTAATTCCTCTAAGATTGTTAAAAGATTTTTTTAATTCATTTAGAAAGAGAGTTCTAAATAGGTTTGCTTCATTATATTATGTTTTAGAAATACTTATTTAAATATTCAAGCAAGCAGCAATCAATAATCTGCACAAAAATTCTATTTCAATGGGGACTTCTTTTCAGGAAACTTACTTAATTTTATGGAATTATCTACAATGTACAAAAACCAGGAGAAATTTAGTTAAACCAGTAAACCAGGAGAAACTGGCAAAATCCAGTAGAATAGGCAGCTATGAAGTTAGCTTATTGCTGTTCAGTCTGAATGTTAGAAAAAAATTCACATGATTTATACAATTCTTTCGTGAAAGATGTAGATTACCTGAAGTGGGCAGAATTAAGCTGTACAAATGATTCACTTGTATTTGAATGCCTTAAAATTGTTCTTTTGAATTGAAGTTGAGAAGAAAAATGAGAAAAACTGACTAAAATAACTCACTCTAGCAATTGAAGGACCTTATTTGGAAATCTTTCCATGTTTAGAAGCTTATTTTATGAATGGAAGTTGGTCTACAAACATATAGTCATCATTCAGAGGTTGCCTTTGTATAAAGATCATCAAAGAAGATTCAGTTGCATACATTATATTATTTAACAAAATCATTTCCACAGAGCAATGCATCATAACAAACAGTTTTCAACATGTAATGGGGCAATAATTATGAAAACAAATAAAGTCATTACTCACAGATTTTGACTTTAAGGAATGACTGTTCTTAATAAGTTCTGTTTCAAGTTTAAGCTCCACATTTCTTTCAAAAATTTTTTCAATATCCTAAATGAGACAGAGAGTTTATAATCATAAATTTCCAGAAGGAATATAACTATAACTGTGATTTTTTTAAAATTTAAATTACACTTGTTTAACACTAAACATATTAACACTTAATCTATACCTATTTCTACCATAGGCGGTCAAATGACCGAACTTTATGCTTCTTGATTGAATGTAGTTAAATGGATGTTAAGGAAATAAACAAAATAAAAAACTTTATTATAATTAAACAAAATTGTATATTGCCAATTTTTATGTATTACAAACACAAAGAATAAGAGTTTTTAATTCATTGCTCAATGTAATTTTTACATATACAGGGTGTTTCCATTGTATATTTTCCGATTTTTTCTAATTATTATTATTTTTATAAGAATATATAAGAATTATAATTCTTATAATTATTCTTATAATTAATATTTCTTCTAAGAACTTTTGTTGTGTTGATTGTTTCAACATTTTTCTGGGTAAAAACTAACAGCTAGTTAGAAATGAAGTAAAGCTCTCAAAATAAAATATAAGCTACTTACCAAAACATTTAGTTTTTGTCACTTTCTCTTACACAAAAATGCCAATCTAAAATTTTAGGTACTTGCATGAAAACTGAATTCACAGTTATGCTGATTGAACTCACTACGCAACAGTCTTTGCAGAAATGTGCAAGTCATCGAATGCAACAAGCTGAACACGCATGACATTGTCACTTCTGATTCGATAGCCTAATAACGCAATACATTTTTTCTCCCAGTCAAATGAACGGTTGTGGTAGAAATAGGCATACGACAAATATTATTTGAAACAAACAAAATGTAAAAAAAAAATACATAGAATAGTAACTGCATATAATTGTTATAAAAAGTCATGAAGTCAAATGTGCAAAAACAATACGATGATAAGCACATTTTTGATGCAAAAGCTCTCTTATAATCATTGAACCGGTTATGGTATGTTCAGTGTTAAATCAATGATTTTTTAAAGAAAGAAATCATTGATATAATCATTGCAATTTAAATCATGCCAACCCTATTTAAAGATAATTGTTTTCCTTCAGACAATCAACTTACTAATGGCGAGGGTGTTTTTTCACAAACAGATTCTTTTGGGGTTTCTCTTCTTTTTAATCTACTAACTTTTCGCTTAGGGAATGCTGAAAGATAGAAAGATTATCTTAAGTAAGGAATATTAATTAATATAATAATACATTCATTCTTATAATTTTTAAACGTTGATCATTTATACTAAGAAAGACATCCAATTCACAATGAATGAATAAGAAGCATCAATGAAATTTTAATGAAGAATAAAAGTTGCAACTCTCTTACAAACCATACATATACACAAGATATACAGTTTCACAACAACTCGAATCATAATCTAAAAAATTGAACACCGAAAAAGTAATTTTTTTCTTTCTACCAAATTTATGTATTAAAAAAAATAAACAAATAACTCCTCCAGGCTAAAAATCTGGGGTTGCCTACTGCTATGGTAACAAGTAAGAGCATGTTTCTAATGGGGTGTGCAATTTAGGAATGAAGATGCCGATGGGTTTACTCATGCTGACCTATGCAAAGATCAAGACAAAACTATTCAGCCCTATTCGAAGTGACTTTTCCTCATAACCGTGGTACCCACCTTAACGGAAGACTGATGCCGAAAGGAGTTCTCCTGAAAGCCGCACTGTATCAACTTTCAAAATCAGTAGTACAATAACACAGAAATTTATACAGTTTTTACAAAATTTAAATTAGTGCAATTTTAAAGCATATAAATAACTTAATTTTACATAGACATATAATGTTAATAATTTAAGCATAAATTAACTATCAAATAAAAAGGTACTACAGATAAAGGTACATATAACGTAGAATATATATAAAAATATATATAACGTAGAAACTTTATACAAATGAGAACAATCAAATTCATTACTTGGAATCAATGTTCTAGTTTCTGGTTAAATTGAAACTAGTCCATATTATTCATTGTATCACCTCACATTTGAACTACTAAAAGGCTTTGCAAACATTAATAGCATTTAAGATTTGAGTTTAAGTCCTCAAAGAAGAGAAGATTAAGTTTACAAACAGCATGTAAAAGATAAGATTTCTTTATTTTATTTCTTTATTTCTTGTTTCTATCAAACTATTTTTATTATTAGAATTATTAAAGGAGTAGAAAAAACTATCATAGATCAGGTGAAAACAAAAAAAAATCATAGCTCTTAATAGATAAGGGGGAAAAAAACTTATTTTAAACCAATGTGGCAGAATTTTTTCGAGCTTTCTGCGAGATATCTCTCTAATACTAATATATTTCTGCAATTTCAAAATAACAAATATACACGTTACAAATTTAAAGTAACAGAAGCGTTTACTTCAAAAAAAGAAAAAGCTTTTAGGATCAAATAAAATAATTTTTTTAATTGAATATGTAATTTTTTTTTATTCTAATATTATGGACAATGTTCATATATTTTGTAAGGGTGAAACACATTAATTATTTCCTTTCTTGCAATTTGTAAATCATTATCACATAAAAAAAATAATTTAAAAAAACCGTGAAATCCGTAGCAGGAACTACCGGGGAAAAAAGATTGAAATCATGCGAATCAGCGAAATCATGCGAATCAGACACTTAAAAGCGGGGTAACTAAATGCATGCTTTGATTTCGAGATTCAGTTGTAATCAATAATATCGTATTAAAAGTATCTGATTTTAAAAGCTATGAGGAAATCAATCGTAATAACTGCATAACAAAATAGAATGAAAATTTCTACAGAAAAGAAAACAAAATTTTCGTACTTCCCAAAGGAATAATCTTTCTGCAAGAACTAGGTAACCTTCTGCAACAATGTCGTCATGTCACCACGAGAATTTAAACGAATTATTATGGAAATTCTCAAGAACCATAATTCTTATAACACAACCATAAGACTAAAACTATAACTATGAAATCGTAATAATTATGGATAAATCATAATAGTTGGCACATCTACGTTTAATAAATAAGAAAAACAACATAACAGAAGAAAAACAACATAAACTAATAAGATAGCAAACATTGCATTATCTACAAAGATCATTTCCAATTTGTGGTCTCAAAGTTAATCGAATTGAACTATTTATTGAATTATATGTCTTTGGAAGTTCATTTGTAATTGACCTGGCAGTGAATATAGAAGAAGTTATCAAAAACTTTTAATCACAGATTTTCCAAAACATAGCGTCTTCTACCCAACTGCTTGAACCGCGTGGCAGAATCGCAGCAACACGACAACATTGTTGCATAATGTTAAGAGTTCTTGCAGAAAGATTTTTTTTGTCTGAAAAGAAAAAAAATTTTAGTTTTCTTCTTTACGGAAATTTAAACGTAATATTTGAACCATGCATTTAGATAATCACTTTTTGACACGCTTAATTTACGCCGATAGTATCGTAAACCAATGTAATGTTTCAATTGTTTTTTCTGTAGTTATTGGTATTGATTTTCACGTGGTTCTGAAATATCTCGATATTTTTCACACAATATGGAAAATTCAAATTGTGCATTTGAGTATTTACTTTTTAAGGCAATGATTTTATTTAATTTTTGGCAGCTATTGATTTCTCAATAGTTTTTAAATCTGATATTCTTTATACGATATTACAATTATTTATGATGCACTTGATTAACCCCTTTTTAAGGAGTCCAATTTGTGTGATTTCGTCACCAATCTTCTTTTTTATCGATAACGGATTACATGATTTTTACTTTCTCTCTATTGAGATGATTATTTACAAAATGCGAAGGAAATAATTTGTGCAATACTGCCCCCCGTCCCTGCAACAAAATGTGAGAATATTACCCATAATATTTAAATATATTATTACATGTTCAATTAAAAAAAGTTATTGTTTTTTTTTGAAAACACAGTGCTTTTGTTACTTTAAATAAGTAACGTGTATGTTTGTTATTATTAAAAGTATCTTGCAGAAAAATGTTAGTGATAGAGGGTTTTGTCACAGATAGATCGAAAAAATTCTGCCACAGAGTGCTTGAATTCGTAGTTTATGATGAATTAAGTATTAAACTCTGGACATGGCAAATGATAACTTATTATACGATACTTTTATTGAAAATAATTTAATGAAAAAATCTTAACAAGAAACATAAACTATATCAATTATATTAAAATAACCAGAATATTTTTAAGGGGGTATTATTCATCCATGAATTTCTCATTTTCTAATTGTATGAAACTATTACATACGCATTTATTAAAACTCAAATAAATAAATAAATAGGAAGTTATAAAAACTCATTTTAACAGATTTTGTTACTAAGATCTGTTCTTAAGATTACATATTATTCTTGTTAGTATATAATCCAAATATGCTCACCTGAAAATTAGATTTAGTTGAGTTTTTAATAATTTAACATTAATAAAGTCAAACCTTGCTGACTCAAACCTTAATCTTGAGGATTTTTCAAAAACACAAAGAAAAAAGAATCTCCCTTCAAATTTCCTATTAACTTAAAATTTTATAAAAACCTTGTTTCAGCAAATTTTATTATTATTATTCATTTGCTACCGATACAATTTTGCTAATTTAAACTTATTAGCAAAGTAATACATTTTACAATAAATTTAAAAACTATTAAAAGTCAATAAAAAGTTAAGCAATCTAATATTAAAATGATTTGTAAATTTTCAAATTAATGATTTCTTGAAAAAATTGTTTGATTCAAATCAATTATTTGATTTAAATCATTTATCTCTTTAAAAAAGAAATTAACTAAATAACATTACCATTGAAACTTTCAGTTAAATAAAGTTATTTGAATCAACAAACTCTGGTTTTAGTACTAATTGTTCAATAAATAAAGAATAAAATATTTGTTTATTTAATTGAAGATAATAGAGCTTTATTTAAGCTTGAGGACATGTTCATTAACATCAATCAGCATTCAATAAGACACACAATTAAATTATTTTAAATTAGTTTAGATTATTTGTTGAGTTATTAATTAACTTATTTTGTAAATATTACAAAAATGAATAAAACCATAAGGCATAGACACCATACAAATTTGTTTACAAGAAAAAAGTTGTAAAGTAAAAACCTTGAAATTTCAGAAAAGCACCTTGTTTAATAGTAAGTTTTGGATTGTAACAAGCATAATGCATCATTAATAGAACAGGAAAAAAAAGTTCTCAAAGTTCTTATCTTAAAACCTTCAATAATTATACTATTTAAATAATTTTAAAAACTATTAGAACTTAAATTTAATAAAGCTCTATCTTACTTCAGACATTTTAATTTCATGCATCATTTCGCAGGATTGCAATAACACATAAACATTTAAAAATTACATGTTTCTGCTTAATTAATTCAGAGTTGGACAAACCTTTAGTTTTGGCATACTTGAAATAAAAGATGGAATAAAGTTTTAGCTTCAAATTAAAATTAATTAAAGCATTAAAAAGTAATTCTTAAAAACTTCTTTTTCCATAAACAGTTAAAAAAATATCCTCTTTCATGCAATAAATATGCTAATATGCTGAAAAAGAAGATTTTGATTATGTTTAGACATTACTTTACAACTCCACTTAGCTTGGAAATATCTAATTATTATATCAGTAAGAATCCATGTAAAAGATTGAGTTGCCCTCTTTGCTATATGAAAAGTCACTATACATGAAAATGTCATACTTCAGCATTATTTAATGCTATAATTTTTTTTTTTTCTAATGGAGGGCACTTTAGTCTATTTCCCATTGGCCTCAGAATTGCTACTCTCTACTCGATACCCAGTGGACAACTGCGGTTAAGCCACCGCGGTGAAGTAGGGTTGTCCATGTAATACAACACAAACTCGTTTATAGAGCACGTTACATTCTCACAGAAGAAAGGACATAGAACACACAGAGAGAGAAAGTTACATCCATGCCTACGGTGGGATTCAAACACACATCCACTGGCTTCGTAATCCAGTACAGTAACCACTAAAACAGTGAAACTTTTACAAACAAAACTACTTACAGTACTTGTTACTTTTTAAAAGTAACATTCCTATATATGTAAAATTTACAATAAAATTTAATTTAAAATAATTTTCATTTAAACTTTCAAATGAACTAATAGTAACAAAATAAAAAGACAAAGCAAAAATTATGCATAAGGCAGTTAAATACTACAATTCCAAAGAAAGTTGCACAAAGCAGCAGTAATTGCATTAGAAAATTTAAACAAAATAAAATTTTAAAGAAGAAAACAATGAAAATATAAAAATTTTAACCGTATGATTATAGTATTAATGTTCAAAATCTTTAAACGTCACCAGGGTTTTGTTTTTTGTTCACGATTTGAGTAAATTTATATCTAATAGATTTTTTTGCATTTCAGATAAAATTTAATTTAATGCAACACTGACGTCAGCTTCGGTTGTCATTTTTATATTTTCAATATTTTCATTGCTCTCTCGATAGCAAAGGTTTTGTGTTTTTATGATTTCCAGAGCTGGTATCCTCTGACAATGTCAGCTACCGTTGTCATTTTTATGTTTTCAATATTTTCATTGCTCTCTCGATAGCAAAGGTTTTGTGTTTTTATGATTTCCAGAGCTGGTATCCTCTGACAATGTCAGCTACCGTTGTCATTTTTATATTTTTATTGTTTTTTTTCTTTAAAATTTTCTAACAATAACAACTTATTGATTAAATAAGATTAATATACACAATAAAAAGTAAAATAAATATGGGTAATTTTTTAATCTCTTATTTTTGCTTAAAAAAGGAGCAATCATGCCACTGATCATTAATATACACTTCATACAAAATCAGAGGGACTGATTGAATGCTTACCTTGCTCTCCAGAAGACGTGGAATGAAGCAAAATGCCTTCTAAGACATGCAGGAGATTGTATATGGCCACCACATCTCCTGCAACAACAGCTTCACCAGTTATGTGCGAAAGTGAGAGCTGAAGAATATCTAAAGACAACGCATTGATGATCGCTTGAATCTCCTCCTCTTCAGATCCTCTTGTCCCACCAGAAATAAAATCTATGAAGAATACACTTTATAAAGTACAGTCTGTTCAGCAGAGGGACTAACTGATCTCAGAAACAAAGGATGGGGAGATTTCTGTGAAGTGATATGTGGCAAGAATAGTCGCCAAGTCTTGGCAACTTCCGGGCAGCAATCATTCTGCCACAGATCACGATACGGAAATCTCTCCAATATATTAACAAATGAATTATTTTAAAAAAATTTAATAATCTAAATTTGATTAATTGTCTACTTATAAAATATTTAGTGATTGATTGAGAAGTTAAATTGTTTTCAAGTCAGACAGTTGCATTCACAACTCTTGATCGGTATCTAGCACCGTTCTTAGTTTGGGATTAATTCATGCATAATCTGAAACTATGGCTTGTAGTGTTCTCCCTAAGCGTTTTTAGTAGGGCTGCCAGCCCTTTGATCCCTAGAAATGTGCCCTTTTACTAAAAATAAGCTGCCATCCCTTAAAAACGCTGCCTTTTTATTCATATTCTGCAGAGATTTCCATATCGATCTGTGGAGGAATAATCAGTAAGTTTCGGCAACTTCCAGGCAGCGGCCTGCAAGAAGCTAAAAGAAACCACAGAAAGGGACCAACTCGTAAGGTATAACTCGTAGCCGCCCCTAAGAAAACATCTTAAATTTTTTTTGGTTTTAAAATTTTGCAAGTTTAAAATCTATGGCGTCTTGGCGATTGTAGTTGGCGTGATAGATCATGATACAGAAATATCCCCCAAAGAATGATAGATTAATGGAACAAGTTATATGTTTATTGTAAAAAGTTTATATAAAATGCTTGGAATTCAGTTATAAAAACCGAAAATAAATGGCGTTGAACTCTGTATGTAATTCTAGAAAAAAATGCAAATCCTGTAGGACAACAACAGACCTGTATAATATACACGAGTACCACTAGCGGAAAATTTTTTCGCCATCGTGGAATATGTTTCACTGTTACTAAAATAGGAAAAAATCTTCTTCTTTAAAAAAAATGTATCTTTTTAGAATTTCCAAGGAAAAAAAAATTTTTTTTGAACAGTTTTTTCTACCAATACAAACGTGTTTTAAAATTACACCTCACGATTCCTATTTATGCGATTCAAGATCGAGCATTGCATTTTGTTTGTTCACGATTTTATATAAAATATCCCGTTTCATATTCATGTGACTTAAAAGCCATTATTATAATTCGTGTTCAAGTGACTTAATTATAGAACAGAAGTTGTATTCACACAATTTTAAAATAACACATAGAGATTTGCATTCACATGATTTTGAAATTAAACATCAAGATTCGTATTTCGAGCCTACATACACTTTTATCTTGTTAAAAATAAGTCATTTTTTCATTTAGTTAAAAAAGTGCTAGTTCTTTTGCACCTAACATCTTTGGATTTTTATTATCAGATCTTTTTGGTTTTTCTACCAAATACATCTCTGTGATAGGATGCAATATAGAATTCTATAAAAATGAACTATTTTTAAAAAAATCTGTAATTTTCAAACGAATTTTGTCAAAATGAGGTTTTGACAAAAGGGTTCAAATTAGTTACAAGCGTTAATCAATACCTGCAGAGTGTTTTTATTTGAGACTTTGTGTTTAATTTATTTTAGTATTTACACACTAGAGCTGCACAATAGGCTATTGGCAACGCTCTAGGAAGCATCCCTGAGGATAATGCGAAAACATGCCATCGCAATTTTGATCCTCTGCAGAGGGGATGGCTATTCCACTGCAGTAGGCCGATGACCTGCATGTGAAGTCAAGCACTTAACGATAGAACACTTTAAAGAGGGGCTGATTAAAGTAGGCACCCACCCGCTTACTGATCGCAGCCAGTGATGCTTGACTTCGGTGTTCTACTGGGAACTGTGTCTTTACAATCAGTTCACCGAGGGACTCTTTTAAATAGGAACAGTTTTTTAGTTTTTACTAAAAGTGTGATTTCCATATTTAAGGGTCACAGAAATATAGATTTTTTTTAAAGCTGAAAAGGAAACTGAACATACTCTTTTTAAACAATAATTATAAATTAATTTTTGCTCAATTATACACACATATATCTTTAAATACAAATATACATCTAAATTTAAATCTCTATCGTTATTTGTTTGTTTTTATTGAGGTGTCTTTTAGGGCATTGTGCACATAAGCCTTAAAATAAAAAGTTACCTGGCAGGGATGATCCTGTTATCTTTTCATAAAGCAACCCAATTAGATAGGAATTTATTTCAGCAATATGGTTAACTTGGGGAACTAAAAGATTACCCCAAACAATTAAGCGGTTTGCAATATCCAGGCAATCTGGAAAAAAATAGTAATAAAGAAAACAATTAATAGGGTTCACACAAGTATAATAACATTGCAACAATTGTCGCCAAGAATTCTACAAATGTTGCTAAAATCATATGCATAAGTGACAAATATGTCGATTTGAAATATGTTTGAACTTACAAAATAGTAAGGAAAATGTTTTTGTATTGTATCAAAATACATGCAGTTAAAAATAAAATGTAGAGCTAATTTTATTGTTCTACTCGTGGTTATGGAATTCAAATGTGGGGTGTTAAAATGGAATAACTGAGAAAGTCTGGAACAAAAAAATTTTTAATTGAAATTTCTAACTTACATGTTGTGCTGTAATAAAAATAATAAACAATATTTTTTTATTTATGTCTACCCTACATTACTACCCTGCCAAGTAACAATGTTATGATAAATTTTTAACTTTCCCATCCAAATTAAACCCGGTATGTAAGTCATTATGGAAAAATCTTCAGAGGAAAGCATTGGCCCACATTGGCCAATGCTTTCCAGGCCAACTAAGATGGCGGGTGGTAAAACTATAATAATTTTGTCATCAGTCATTTTTATTTTCAGTAGCACCTAGCACACTTTATAAATAAATATAAATAACAAAAATTATATTTCTACTATCATTGGACATAATAGTAAAATATTTAATATATATATATAATGAATGTGCACATCATATGTCTGAATTATGATGCTAGATAATATTTCAGAATCGTCGCGACACGGGGACATTGTCGCAGAATGTTACTGTGTTCTTGCAGAAAGATTTTTCATTTGGGAAGTAAAAAATACTGGTTTTCTTTTCTGCAGAAATTTTCGAAAGCTTCCATCTTCTTTTCAGAATTATATTCAAAATTATATGCCATTCTTGCGCATCAGAGTGGGAATAAAAAGGCCGCCTGTAATTTTTCTATTTTTATTTGAGAATAAGGAAGAAAAAAGTTTGGTTTTCTTTTCTGGAGAAATACTTGCTCTATTTTTTGGCAGTTATTGCTTTTGATTTCCTCAGTTCTTAAAACCTGATATTATTTATTACAACAGCTGAATCTTAAAATGAAACCCTGCATTTGTAACCCCCCTTTTTAAAGAGTTTGATTTGGCGTGATATCGCCGTCGATCTTTTTTTTTTTCATTAGTTGCTGCTATGGATTTCACAATTTTTAATTTATTTTTAAATTTAATGATGACTCACAAAGCAAGGAAAAGGAAATAAGTAGTGTATTTTCTCCTTACAAAATTTGAGAATATAGCTCATAATAATAGAATAAAAAATATATAATATTCAGTTTTAAAATTTACATTATTTTTTCTAAAAAGTTATTTTTTCTTTTGAAGTTGACGCTTTTGTTACTTTAAATTAGTAACATATATATTTGTTATTATTAAAAGTATCTTGCAGAAAGATATTGATGCTGGGGAGATTTGTCCAAGAAAGCCTGAAAAAATTCGGATACAGGGTTCAAAAGTATGTTGGAAGAATTTTGTTTCGGAGACTTTCCCAATATTACAAGAATATTATTAATGTTCATTCACGTTATTTAGATGATATTTTAAAACTACTGACATTTGACTCCTTATAATTGTAGCATGTCTAACTACTGCAATTATTAAATACCGATTCACTAGTTTACACGATAAGTAAGCTTCAATCGATCTTGGGGTATATTTTTATAGAAGACAGTTGACGTTGTCGAAAGATAGTTCCCAAATATATATAAAACTGTTATAATAAAATCAAAAAAGAATACATTCTTTTGAAACTGAAAAAGAATAAATTATTCGAATACATACTTTTGGGGAGATTCCCCTATCATGATCTGCAGCAGTACAATCGCCAAGTCTTAGCAACTTCCGGGCAGAGGCCCGCGATAAATTTTTTAAAAAAAACATCACAGAAAGAGGCATACTCGAAACGTATAACTCGTAGCCACAGCAGGGCAAACATCTACATGTTTTTTGTTTTTTTTTAAATTTGCAAGTTTAAAATCTGTTTAGCACCGTGCCGAATGTGATGCCATGATATATTGATCTGCCACGCCAACTACAATCACCTAGGTGCCAAATAGGTTTTAAACTTGCAAATTTTTCTTAAAGAAACATGTAGGTGTTTTCCCGGGGTCGGCTACGAGATATACATTTCGAGCTGTACCATTTTTGTGATGTTTTCCCGCGGGCCGGTGCCCGGAAGTTGCCAGGACATGGCGATTAGTCTGCCACAAATCACGATACGGAAATCTCGCTGCGATGGTGGTTGGTACAACAGACCGCGATACAGAAATATCCCCAATATTTGCTTTATTCGATATTTGTGTTACTTGGGTAGCAAGAAATATGCAATTCGTCTTGTAGAGATTAATACTGATTATTTTAAATGAGATTAAATAAAATAGAAACTGAATAATATAACAGCAGGTTCTTATACGGAAATATCTTCAAAGCCTGTACCAAAAGGAAAAAAATTTATAAAATTACCTTTATTGGAAGGCTTCGTCAAATTTTTATCACTGTTTGACATTTCTTTCCTTTATTCAGTTAACGAAATGACGCAAATAAGAACAGACTCATAGTTTTCCAATCATATTAGATTATGAAACAGGAACGTAATTGTAATTAATTTTATTATTTATAAACTTATATCGTATCTTAAAATTAATTAATTACAAGTTGTTTAAATATCATTTCCTTTGTTTCGCAGACAGCATCAACCTGTTTAATTTTGTACTACACAGCTCATAATGGATGGTTAGTTTTTTGGTAAAATAGGATACTGGATGGAGTGAGCTTTGCGTTAGCGTTCGCTGGAATCAGAGCTGCATAAATTGCTTACAGTGGGAACGGATCTAATATTAAAAGCGCTTAAGTGAATAATCTTGAAAAATAAATCCATACATTTTAATCTATTCAAGCTGTAAGCCAATTATTTCATTATATAAAATATGCCAAAATGGTACGTTTTAAGCAAGAAATGGTTTCGCCTGTTTATAATTTTGACACATTAACAATTTTTAAAGAATGAATATTCAATTCGCTAAATCAAGGAATGAGTAATCTAGTTCTTGGTGTTGGTCCTGGTGTATTTATAGTAATTGCTCTCTGGATTTGTGCACTTAGTTCAGTAGTAATTTTTGCTAGAATAAAACGCCCTTCTTCGTAAGTTATACAAGTTTTATTTGTTACGCTTGAACATAGCTGGAAATTTTTGATTTATTCGTTAATATTAAAAGCAGCGTTAGATTCTATTTAAATGCATTAAAATCGAATTTCTCTAATTTAATTTTGCCCAAGTTGTTAAAATGTTTATTAGAAGATTTGATTTTCCATTTATATTGTTTTTGTTGCGGAACTTTTTCAGCCTTTCTAAGACAAACCTTACCCAAACACTAATATTTTTCTTCAAGATATTTTAACTGTAATTACTATGTATATATGACCAATTTATAGTAAGTGAAGTGATTTGTGTTTATTAAAAGGCCTACATGTTTGGATAGTAGCTGTATATAATCAGGTGGTTAAACATATAATCATGATTCGTTTTCATACAATTTGTAATTAAAAATCTAGGTTTGTATTTGTGCTATTTAAAAAATAAAATGTCATTATTCATATTTATGTTATTTGAAAATAAAACAACCTAATAACTCAATCTAAAGCGTTATCAGTATTCACTCAACTTAAAAATACCTAATCATGACTCGTATTTTTGCAATTTAAAATTCATGCTTTTCTATTTTATGCTTAGCCTTCTTATAATTTGTAACATTTATGCACGATAAACAGGATACTCTACCTTAAATAATTTTTAACCCTTTTTGCTAAAACTTTTTTTCATTGCTATTTATTATTCAAGGATTGTCAAGAATTGAAATCTTTATTGTTATTGTAGGTATAGTGAAATGTACACGTTGCAATGAAATGTATTTCTTAAAATAGTATAGCTTATAATTTGGAGTAATTTTAGTCATTTATACATTAGTATTTAATTATTAAAATTTTATGAATAAGAAGAAATTTATTTATTTCCTGTTTGTGAAAATATTGTTGGGATTTAAAGTCTTCTAAAAGCATTAATTGATATAAATCAATATGATTCATATTGATGTTTTTTTTTCGTGCTGAAATTTATTTTTTCTCATTTCTGTTAAATACTGATAATAATTTTTACTTTGCAGATTTTTAAGTTTTTTTTTTAAATATTTTCAATGACAATATTGCATAAAAGTCTGAATAATATTTATCAAAAATATGTATAGCTATAATTATTAAAGGTCCTAAAAACTTTTTTTTAAATGTATAGCTTAATTTTCACATAAAATTAACTTATACTTTTATTTTTTTTAAGTGCGAATCAAAATATTGGCCAGTTGAGATTCTACTAATAGCTAAAATTATATTTTTCAAAAAATAATTTTTTTTTCTTTACATGATTATAATATTACTAAAAATAATTAAAATACATTAAATGCTGAGAATATTTTATTAAATATTGAAATGGTGTGTTTAATTTCAAACATGTCCTATTTCTTGAAGCAATTGAACCATGAGTTTCCATTTAAAAATAGAAATATGCATTTTACGCTTTAAAATTTTATAAAATATGTTGCTTGTTAAAGTTTGAAATTTTTATGTTTTAGTTTACTCTTCACGAAATTGACCATCTGTAAACACATTAATGTTTGCAAACTCAAGATTTAATCTTTGTGTCTAAAACTTCTTAAAATAGTGTTTCTAAATGCATATTCCAATTGGTTCTAATTATTGCAGATTATTGCATTTATCATTGGTTATGTCTTTGTTGCACCAGTTATGCTAAAAAGTAAGAGAAGTTAATTGCACGCATAAAGATGCATTTGCTGTATATTTATAAATATAAATGAGAATGAGATGTTTTTCTTAATTTTAGTATACTTTATTTTTAGAATATTTCTTATAATCAAATCCGTGTTGTATGTAATATGCTTTTTATTTATTATTATAATGTTTTCAAAATGAATTATTTAATATAGTGAAAGTCTATTAAAATGACAATTCATTAATAGATGAAATTTACTAAGTAGGATAACAAAATATTTAAAAATTGTTTGAACTATTTTCATAGTTTTATTTAGTGCTACATTATGCTACTAAGCTTATTTTTAAACTTATAGCTTCTTTTTTTTATTATTAAACCAATAGTACTGAAGCATATTTTTGCTTTTTTTTAATTCAGCCCATTTGTCAATTTTATTTTTGTCATCATTACATTATTTTCAAATATAGGATTCAAAGTTGTCCTGATTTTTGTGTCAGTTTAGAACAGCTCGTTTTTTAAAATCTTATTGAAGAATTAGAAGGTTGGAGCTTATAATCCAATATCTTTTAATTGATAATGCTTGTAAAATTAATAAGCTTGTAAAATTCAAATTGTAAAATCAGTTTAAATGAAATAAATAAAAAATTCAGACACTATGCATAATGGCTTTCAAGCCGATTTTCTTATAGTGGTACTATGTATACTTTAAAGTATCAGTGTGAAATAATCTTTAATTTGACCATAGATCATTCTGGATTTACAAATGGAAAAGAAAGACTTAATTCAATGGCAAGGTCATATTTATGTAGAAGTATAAGCTGCAGCTTAGAACCCCTCGAACCATAAGGCCCCTCAAAAAAAAATTTTTAAANATGCAGAAGAGGCGCACACATACTTATACAGGCTTGGCGACGAAACTTTCGATATGATTCTAAATGATTCTCGCATAACTCTGTAAATATTGTTCCTAATTGCTTTGAAAGTAAGTTTCTAGAACTACACTGCTCAAAAAAATTAGGGGAGCCATGTGCTCCCCTAATTTTTTTGAGCAGTGTATATATATGTATATATATATATATACACACTGCATATATATATACATACATATATATATATGCAGTGTGTTTAAAATTTGTAGAAGTTACTTGAAACCCATAAGAAAAATTTCTCATTTTGTGATGCTGGTCAAAATCTACAAATCAACATAAATGGAATCCCCCTAACTGTTGTCTTTTCGGCCTTTTTTGGTGTCGAATTTCGAGGACCATCCTTGTTTGCAAATGGAACAGTTTACTAAATTGGAAGATTAAAGCTATTCACTTTTTAACCAATAATATTTCACGACATATTTTAGCTTTGAATGTATATTCATGAAATTTTTATTTTATTTTCTGAAGTTGCCAAAATTTTGTTTTATAATAATTTAAAGGTTAAGTAAATTTCCAATTGAAAAAAAAAATTAAGAATTTTTGAAAATGTATCTGATATGTGGGGAAATTTTTTTTTTTAAATTTTTATGTGTTTATGTTGCAGCTTTTTGTATTTTGTTCTCCTTCAAAGAATCAAAGTTTATGTATTGTATTATGAAAGAAAAATTCTGCATTATAGCCGCATGTCCATATAATATCCATATAATCAAATCTTAATGACAAATATTATTGACTTTTATCTAATATTTATTATTGTACATTAGACATAAAAAAGTTTCATCCTTGAGTGTTTTATAAAAACTTCTCATTCATGATGTCACATGTTTGTCAAAAAGCAATATCTAAAATTTCTTAATTCTAGTGAAACGTACATTAATTCAATGGATTATTAAAAGAAGAATGATTAGTTTATGTGCAAATATAATGACAATTCATTGAGCTTCTATTGAATGAAAAAATTTCTTTCTGTCACGTGTGGGACATCCATTTTATGCAATTTAAATTATTTATTTCTTGTATGCATAACTCAGTAAATATTTCCAAAGATTGAAAGAGAAAAGAATAAATACTTACTTTTGCTAAGTGAAATTGATTATTGCTGTGCTACTCTGAAAAAAAAAAAGGTTTCTTTAAAAATACTTAAAACTCAGTTAGTATCATGTCTTAACTGTTAAATAATATGAATAGTAATATGGGGGAAAAAAGAACTTTTCATGGAATTAACCATTAATTTAATGTTTAATAATCAACTATATGATAAAATCTGTTGGTGTTAAGAAAATGGAGTTGAACATATAAGGACTACATTCTATTCAATAGCTTAGTGCCCTGGCGAGCCTAAATCACGCCCTGTGCAATGATTAACCCCTTAACTCACAGATTTTTTGAAAAAAATTTTAAAACATTTTTATGTAAAAAAACACACTTTAGAACAAGGTTTCCATTTTTGCCACTCCTGGTTTAACTTTTCTTTTGTTGGACAATTTTGATATACTGTGCTTTTGTTCCAAAAAAAAAAGGCTATATTTTATTCTTGATTAAATAAGTGTTATAGCTTACAATTCTATGTAAATGATTAATTTCTATAAAAAGATTTTTTTTTCTTAGCTCTTACATTGTTATTTTCAATTCTCGATTATATTCGAATGTGAAAATTATAGCAGCATAAAATACAACGCCGCTCAAATTAGCTCGAGTGTGCACAGTTTGGCCTGTTTAGCATGCTCGAAATAACCCGAGCGCGCAAGTTACGAGGTAAATACAGTCGAAGGGTCGCTATTATAGGGAGCTGTACTGAAGATCATGAACTGTACTTGAAAACGAGCTATTGATTTTTTTATCAGTATGGAGAGTATCACTTCAGGGTGTAGCAAAAAAACTGGACAAAAATTTTCTTAAGAATATATAATTTAGCAAAATATGACAAGTAATAATAAGAGTAGACTTATACTAATAAATAAATTTAATTTGTTTCAAAGTGGCCACAATGCGGAGGAAAGAACAAAAATGGAACAGAAGATCAAAATGAGGTGAAAAAAAGGAATATTTTCCATGATATTCTAGAAAATGAATACTTAAAATTCCCATCGAGTGATATCAAGATGATCATTGGTGACGTGATTGCTTAACTTGGTGGAAACCTACACTCAGACACCTTTGTGAGCAGGCATAACCTGCATGATGAGTTTAATGATAATGGCATCAGTCTTTGCTTCTACAACTAATTTGCTAATCAGAAGTACTGTGTTTCAACATAAATATATACACAATATAACATGGGGGACACCAGATGGCTGAATCAATTGGTGTATAACCCAGAATCAAATATATTACCCAGATTTAGATAGGCCACATTTTAATTGATGTGGGGCTTAAAAGTTGTTTATTAGGTGTATGTAGCTTTCAGGATACAAAACGGACCACTTTCGTGTTGTCTCTAAGATAGGAGCTGAAGTAAACGGTTATTTTTATCAGATTTTTTTCCTTTTAATTAGCATGAATGGAAAAATTCTATTTTAAACAAATACGAAGCTAAATAAGAGACAATTTCTAAGCCAATAATTATGTACAGGTAAATGAACATGGTTAGAAGAAGTTGGGTAAATCATTAAAATCTCAACTAACGAAATAAACCCACGACTTGAATAGGGCTGGATTGATTTTAAATGCAATGAAATCACCAACAAGGAAAATCAAGCTTATAAATTGATGATTAAAAAAACACTGCACTAGAAGTGCTGAAAACGGCTATGAGGAATTGAGAAGTCAAGAGAAAATATTGTTCAAAAGAAAAAAATAGAATATCACAATTATAAAGACATTACACTTTTAAATGTGGCATTTGAAATATTTTCCAAACTATTGCCTGGCAGACTTGCTTCTTATATTTTAAATATTATTGGGAAGTACCAATGTATATTCCAAAAGGGAAAGAGATATTACCAACCAGATTCACTCTTTTAGACAAATCAAACTTGGGCAGAATGATATTTGATTGACAGACCAAATCATATCATTCTGTGAGTTAACAGCTTGTTGGACGGTAGGGATCATCTGTCAGAATTTCTTCTCATCAGACTTGCAGCCCATTGTTAAAAATTTAAATAATCGTTTGCACCTCTACATCACTACAGAAGGCAGCCACTTTTAAATCTTGTTAAATTATTTATTAATTAAGACTTGCTTTTATTATTATTATTTGTTCTATTTTGTTAATTTATTTTTAATATAGTTAGATTAAAAATTGTTTGTCCGGATTTTTTGCTACTCTTTGTATTTGTTATAGTACAAAATATTACATTAGCATCTTAGGTAGCAACTTATTTTAACTCATAATAAACTCTGTGAGAGTATCCATCTGTCCGTCAATGTATAAAAAACAATGACAGTCACTCTGAAACTATTATGTGAGAATGACTGGTGTTAAATGCAATAAAGGAAACGAAGGAAATAAAAATATGACCACCGAAGCCGACGTCTTCAGGGGGTACCGGCCCCGGTAGCCATAAAACAAAACCATTTCTAATTGAGGGAGAAGCAAATGCCTAAATTAACTCCCTCAGTACCCCGATGGTTTTGTATAGAGGTCNTTAAAACACAATCCCCTGAAGACGTCGGCTTCGGTGGTCATATTTTTATTTCCTTTATTGCTACTTTTTTTTAAATTTCTGCTGCTTTTCAGCGCGTTATTTTCAGTTCGGAGTTGCCTAATTGACCAAGTGGTTGCTTACAAAAGGGTTGCCTTTTTTTGTTACTTATGTTAACTCTTGGCTGATATTATTATTTTTTATGTGATGCTATTATCTCATATTTTCTCAACCATGTTTGTAAAGGGAGGAAAAGTAAATCACAGGCGCTCTAGAATTCATATCTGTTTCATTTAACATATTAACTCAAAATTTCATCCCATCATCCTCTTCATCAATGTCGCCCCAATTTTTTTTTTACATTTGTAAGCATCATCACATAGAATTGAAACGTCATAAAAAGCAAACGATCTGATTGGTTCAAGTGTGAGTTGCTCTTATTTATAGACTATTTTCTCCCTGCGGAGCGAAACAGTTGCTGATATTTCAAGCAACTGTGGTTTTTATACTATGGTATTAAATTAGTGATTCTGTTTTTTTTTAAATTATTATTCTAACATTAACTCAATATTTGTATTATTCATGACTTAATGAGATGATTCGTTTTAAATGGATTCATTATTTTTTTTATAGGTTTCTTGGAATTGGGAGTATTGGTGTAGCGTCCATTATTACGATAGTGTTGTTTCTGATTCCAAGAGGTCATCAAGCTTCAGGATTCAATCAAGGTCCCCTCGACTATTTGTTCGTTTGGAGATCTGCTCTTATCATATTTTTGCTAATCTCTTTTATTGTCGCGATTGTATTGTATGCTGCTGAATATTTACTGGTTCCAATGTCTTCTAGAGCCTTAAGAAAAGTAGTCCATAAAACTCACTTGTCATAATTGTATTAATTTTTGCCAATTGTGATAATTAGTGATACATTACGAGTCAAATATGTCTGACAAAATTCCAAAAGTAGGCAGCCGTGTTGAGATCTTGGGGAAAGATGTTAAAGGAAGAGTTGCCTATGTGGGCAGCACTCAATTTTCAACTGGAAAGTGGTTTGGTGTTGTTTTAGATGAGGCGAAAGGTAAAAACAATGGCTGTGTTCAGGGTAGAGTATATTTCACCTGTCAAGATAATCACGGAATATTTGTTCGTCAAACTCAACTTCAAGTTATTGACGACGAATCCTCTCCTCGTAGCAGAACGTCCTCGTCTCCTGCTACAGGATCAATGGAAAATGTATCTTTCTCTAAAGATACAGAGAAGAGGAGAAAAACTTCTAACACAGGTATTCCTAGAATTCCACACGACAAAGGTTCGAGGGAGGTGTTAAATGTAGATACCCCGACACGAGCCTCTTCGTCTGGTTCGCTAAAGAGCTCTATGATCGAAGTAGATGGTTCGGCTGTGTCTTCCGATTTATTGTCCATCAAGGATGCCGCTAACGTGCTCGAATTGAAAGGTCAGCTTTTGCAGAAGGATCAAGAAATCGATACCCTGAAAGGCGAAATTAAAGACCTGAATGAAAAGCTTGAAACAATAAAAATGAAACGTGCTGAAGATCAGTCGAAATTGAAAGAGGCGGAAAAAACGAAGTTTCAAGTACAGCAGCTGCTGGAATACAAAGCAAAAATAACGGAAGTTCAGGCAGACCTTCAAAAGCAATTGACGCAGGCCAAAAAAGAAGCGAAGGAAGCGATCGAAGAAAAGGAACAGCATGCCGAAGAAATGTCCGATCTGGCTGAAGCGATGGAGATCGCTACTCTGGACAAAGAAATGGCAGAAGAAAAATGTGAAGCTCTGCAATCTGAATTGGAACAAACCAAAGAAAAGATGGAAGAACTTCAGATTGATTATGATATTATGAAGGCAGAGATTGAAAAAGGAGCTGATGGAGCAGTTACAACTTATCAAATAAAACAATTAGAGCAACAAAACGAGAGGTTGAAAGAGGCTCTTATAAAACTAAGAGACCTGTCTGCTCAAGAAAAACAGGACCAGCAACGATTGCAAAAGGAATTCGATCAGCAAAGATCCGAAATCTCTGAGCTGAGCCGAGCGAAAGAAAAACTGAGTGGTCTTGTAGAAGATTATGAACGACAATTGGGTGAACTAAAAGAACAGGTTGATGCAGCTCTTGGATCTGAAGAGATGATTGAACTTTTAACAGAGCGAAATTTAACTTTAGAGGACAGGCTTAGAGAACTTCAAGTTTTAGTAGATGATTTGGAGCATTTGCAAGATGTGAACGATCAGCTTCAAGAATCTGCAAAAGAAACTGAACTTGAGCTCAGAGAAGAAGTAGATATGGCTACTTCCAAAATACGAGAAGGGCAGCATAAGCTGGAAGCCATGCAGGAAGCAATAGCCGATTATGAGCAGACGATCCAAAAGTTCCGGGATCAAACTGAGCAGCTTCGTGAGGCAAATAATGAGTTGCATTTGCAGTTACAGAAAGAAAATGATAAGATTGCTTTGTCCAAGCCTGTAGAATACTTTGATTTCAAAGTGAAGTATGCTGAAACCAAAGCATTTGCCAGAGCAGTTGAAATGGATTTACGGAGACTAGAAGTACAGGAAGCTAACCAGCATGTTAGCTACTTATGTGCTTTTATGCCAGACAACTTTTTGAGCCGGGGTTCTGATCATGATGCGATTTTGGTTCTTCTGCTTGTACCTAGAATGATTACGAAATCAGAAATTTTAGCAGCTCAAGTAAAAGAAAAATTTCCACCTCCCGAGAAAGTTACCAAAGATTCGATTCTTAAAACTCACAAAATTGACCAATATTCTTTCAGTAATTGCTTGCTATATCAGTTGTATTTTCTCCAATCATTATTACACCAGTATTCGAATGCTCTGAGTCAATGTAGTGTTGACTTGTTTATGAAAGTTGGTACAATATATATGGAAATGGCTGTTCAAGAAAAGACTCTCGATTATTATATTGATTTGTTACGAAAAGATCAGCTCGATGAAAATGTTAATTTAGAGAGTTTGATGAAGTGTGTATTGTATTTTTATAATTTGTATAGTGTACATCTATCATCAGAATTGCCCGATTGCAACTTATTGGTAAGTGACCACATGAAGCTGATTGGAGCAGCCTGTGATGGTATACATACAGATATTTCTAGCATTATTGCTTTGCTAGACAATTCGGGCGAAAATAGCGAATTTGGAAATCTTTTAAAAGATGTATGCACCTATTCTAATGATGTACTTCAGTTTGTGAAAAAAATACGACGGCGATTGCCCAATGAGGGTAGCCAATCAGTATTACAACTTCCTGCAGATGTGCAGGAAAATCTCAATAATTGCCGAGAAAATATTGGTCAGGTATTGGTTACTGCGAGTCTACTGCGCAAATCTACCGTGCAACAAGTTGCTATGTCTTCTGAGTCGACTTGCGTTAATATTGAAAAAATAAAAGAGCTCGCTCACGAAGCTACCGATAAATCTTACGGTAAAGATGACAGCGGCCCGGAATGTTTGCGTCAGTCAATGACAGTGGTCATGACCTTCATGAATAGCCTTTCTAGCGCGATGCAAGAAGGTGATTATGAAAATGACAAGACAAACGTTGCTAAAGCAACACCACCCATTTATGTTCGCGCACAGTCAATAAAAGAAGAAGCGAGAGATCTGGAGAATTTGAAATTCAAGTTGGAAGGTCGAGAAACCGATATTCTGGAACTCAAGAAAGCTCTCAAGATAAAGAGTGACGAGTTGAGTGAGATGCACGTTCGTAAAGAGATGGCCGAAAAGAAATTAGAAATAGCCACCAAAGATGGGGACGAAAGAGTGGACCGTATTCAGAGGCAACTGGACGAGGCTAAGATGCTTTTGAAAAAGAAAGAGAAAGAATTTGAAGAAACTTTAGATCACTTGCAAGCGGACATCGATGCTCTTGAGACAGAAAGGGGAGAACTCAAAGATAAAATCAAATTAATATCCAAAAAGACACTGCTTGAAGGGTTATCGAAAACTGCAAACTTAGTCGCCTCTCCGACGAGCCCAACTGTCTCCTCCTCGCCGTCTGCATCGATTTCACGCGACAGTTCATTGCTGTCTCAACAGGTTCACGATCTGCAGCTGGTCTTGAAACACCTGAAGACGGAGAATATAAAATTGCAGGGTAATTGCATGGCGAAAGACCTGGCTAACTTGCCACCCTTAAATGTGCCGAGTAAACCTATCGGTCTCTCTAGTACAACGGGATTTAAAGACATGGTTCATTTTGACGAGAAGTTCCCTTCTGAAAATCTTGTATGCTTGTCTAAAAAGTCTAAAGAACTCTTGGAGAAAGCTCAGACGTTGTCGTGCCCGCTCGTCGTGGATATCAGCAAAAGAAAACCCGGAAAAGACGCCCCCATCGCAAAGATGTCGACCGGAAACCATCTCCTTCAATCTACTCTTCAACTTAAGTCGCTGCAGAGCGACACGGAGAAATTGAAGGCTGAAGTCGCCAACTTGCGTGCTTCTCAGGGCGTCGGCACTCAGGTGAGTGCTGACTTTTCTGCTTTTCCGACTCCCGAATTTTCCAAAAGTTTCTCGGGCGACAAGGTTCTGATGACGAGAATTATGATTCCTACTAGATGTGGTGTTGATGAGCAGAACAACATTTCTCTGCTTTCAAACATGAATGAAATTATGAAGCTTCACTCTCAAATTTTGTCTTAAAATGTGCCTCACCAACCTTTTTGCTTATGGTTTTGTCTTGTGGATTTAGTAGGTTTCGTCATATTTTCTGCCTCTTATTAAATTTTTGTGTGTGTGTTGTGCTATGTAGAGGTATTAGTAATTCTATTCTTCTTCATTGTTTGTTTATGTTTTTTTTCATCATCTCTTTCATTGTTTATTAAGCTGAGCATGTTTTGTTCTATGAATATTAGTCCAGTTTTTAGAAATATGCTGTAAAAAATTATTTAATTTTTATGAAATTATGTTCAACACATGGCAGGGTGCGTAGCATTTTTAAAACGTGCTTATTTTTGATTTAAGTTTTTAAAGGCCCTTAAAGGTGCTTTTTGTGTATGGAGTTTAACAAGTGCTTAAATTTCTATCTTTTTAAAAGAGATTTTTTCTTCGTTGTATTGATTGTTGCTCTAAATTACAAAGGATGATTTTAATAATTTTCACTGCAATATTTATGAGAAACTAGTTATTTTATCATGATTATGTAAAATTTTTGAATTTTATTGACTATATGTTTATAAATTATGAACTTTAAACGATACAAAAAAATAATTGATATTATCTCACAGATTCTAATTATTTATTTACTTATTTATTTTTTGAAAGTATAAAAATATTGTTTGGGTGCTTAAAAAGTACTTAAAATTTGCCTATTATTTGTTTTTTAAAAAAAAAAAATTCTGCCTACGCACCTTGCATGATTATGATTCAAAAACATATAATGTTTGTAATTAAATGTTGCATTAGTGTTAACATAGCAGAATTCTATTTTGTTTTTCTACTTTAAACATTAAATGTATCTATAAAGAGATTTTTTTTTTCAAAAAAATTATTTTTACTCACATTGATGCCTAATGTTCATAATATTTGTTGCTTCCACAAAGTAACATAATGTATTACCATAGCAGATTTAATTTTGAGGAAAATATAGCATATGTATGTACATTACTTGATTTGTGGAGAAGCTTTAAAATGAGGGTAATTAATTAAATTACCACAAGTTAGTTGTTATATTATTATGTATCAAAATTTTCTTTAACCTTTTAACTGTCGAGTTATGATTTGGGTACATATATTATCAATTTTTTAGAAGCATAAATCAAGTGTCTAGTGCGAAATAAAATATACTTGGTAGTTAAAAATCGATAATTTGAATTACATGCATAAAAATTTACAGTTTTGTAGCCGCTGCATATTCGCTTGAAGCGACAGTGGTAAAGTTTGCTTCTAATGAAGCAATATTTTCTAAAAATTAAAAAAAATAATAATGTAATTATTTTCTAAAAAAAATATAAATCATCTAATATAACGTTTCAAAGAACTGGATGCCATTTTGCAACAGAAAAAAAAAAAAACTTGCACTTTGAGCATAAAGCTCTATCCCTTGGAACCTTGAGTAAAGTGCTGTCATCTATTTTTCTAAATTGTTCTAAATAAACTTTTCCCTCAATAGATTCTGATTTGACAAAGAGATGAATCCGAAATAAACTTCTCCCGATATATATCAAGATATGGATATAACAGTATGATGCACTCAACAAAAAGACAAAAAAAAATTACCCCCAGTAATACTCGGGCGTGAAATTGTGGGACACCAGTGCTGTGTCAGAGTTTATTTCGGGTCTGACAGTTAAAAGGTTAACATACTGTTTTAAATGTTATTATTTTGTAATTATCTTTTTACACACTTCCTCCTTTCCTAGAATACCTTCAATCTTTTAATAAATGCAAGTATTAAAGCAGTGATTTCCCAAGTTTTTGGTTGTTTTCCCAGATCTATTGCAGAATCCTTGCGACAGTGTTCAAAAACTTGTAAAAGAAATTATCAGTAAATCTATTACAGATTTACAAATAGCTTTTAAGTGACTACCTTTGGCTGTAAAGCAAAACAGTAAACTATTCACAAAATTTTCTGTGATGGGCTGCAGTTCATCTACTGTCCTACTCCATGCATAAAAAATATTTTAGCAGGGTGTGTAGCTTTCTTAAAAAGTGCTTAAAGGTGCTTATTTTTTATTTAAGTTTTTTATTTGGGTGCTTTTATTATTATTTGGGGTTTGTACAAAGTGCTTAATTTTCTATCTTTTAAAAAGAGATTTTTTCTTTGCCGTGTCGATTATCTTTCTAAATTATAAAAAATAATGCATAATTTTCACAATTTTTTCTGCAAAATTTATCAGTAACTAGTTATTTTATCAGATGCCAGGTGGCTGATCAGTAGCACTGTCGTGCCCCAGGTCCCGGATTCGATCCTTTCATTCTTTCAGTGGGTCCTTAAGATGAGTGCCAAGCCTGCTTGGGAGCACTGGGTGTTCCGCTTTGGGGTGACCACCCAAGCAAAACATCTGCTCCTGCACCTCATAGCCCAAAGGTCAAGAATATTGAGATGGGCACTGTAGGCCTTGGTTCTCAGTGGGCTGTCGCTCCACTGAGTTAGGTTTAATAGTTATTTTATCGTGATTATGTAAAATTTTTGAAGATTATTTTGAGTTGTATTAATTTTATGTTTATAAGTTAAGCACTTTAAACGATAGAAAAGAAATTTTATTGCTGCACAGATCCTAGTTATAATATTTCTTTTCTTTTTTTTTTTTTTTTTTTTTTTTTTTTTTTTTTGGAAAGTGCTTGAAAATTTTTGAGTGCTTAAAGGTGCTTATTTTCTGTTGTAAAATTGGGCTACGCACCCTGTTTAGGGATACTAAAATCGTACGAGGTTTAACACAAGCCCTTATCTCCAAAGGGAAGCTGAAATCCATTGGATTTTTATTTTGTAAATAAGGCGGTCATTCATGTGCTGCAAACTAAGTCGGGAAAACGGGCCACGCTCCATTTTTAATAATTTAAGCAGAATAATGGGTAACTCAACCAACTTCCATACACATGGTGAGATGTGTGGTTGTATTAATACAATCGGACCCCGATTTAACGAATTCGTATGGATCCGGAAATATTACAGTACAGAACCTCTTATCCGGAAATCAGAAAACCAGAACAAAATTCGATACATTTTCCCGCCATTTAAAAAAAAAAATTCTTTAAAAGATTTCAGAATTCTTTTTTTTTTTTTAAAGATGTTTACCATCATTTTAGAAATAATCATTAGTTCCCTACTCTGTCTAGAGAAGTAAGAGTTTTTTTTTTTTAATTATTCTAAATATATATATATTTAATTTAATTTGACAATAAAAAAACGGCTTTTTGTAGCGATTCACAAAACCGGAAAATTCAGTTATCCGGTATAGCGATGATCCCGATCGTTCCGGATAATCGGTTCTCTACGTATTTGCTAAATCTTGGAAAATTTTTAATATCGGGGGCAAAATAAATTAAAAAATTACTAGCCTTATGAAATAGTCGAACATCTCTCATGAGCAAATGCACAAAATTATTATAAATCATACACTTTTTATTCAGGAACCTAAAATACAACGAATGACTACGCGTTGATTAATAATTTAATATTTTAAAGCATTTCGTGAGTAAGGTTTGCTTATTTCCTTGATGATTCGTCATGAAGAGAAGAAAGTACTCCATTTACACCTTGCTGCATTAGGTAAATTTTCACTGTTTTCAAACCGTGCAAAGCATCAGAAAAAGTAAAAGTTTTCACTAGAGAGATACATTATCATCGACTTCTGTGTCAGACTCGTTATTCATTGTTTCCTATAAGTCTACTTCATAAAATTCGTTGCATCGCGAAATTCGGTAAATAAGGGTTCGTTAAACCGGGGTTCAACTGCACTTATAGAAAATTTTAAAAACTTTGGCAGTAGATAGAAATACTCGTATATAAATTTAAACTTAGTTGTTTCTTTCCAACCTCTATATTATGTGCATGCAATCAAGTATACGTAAGCAAATCACTTTTGTAAAAAAAAGATATGAATTGTATTTTTATCCATTGTGCCAGTTAGAGGGTTAAATGTGCAAAATGTCATTTTTGTTGTTTGATTAACTTAAATATTTGTGCTTAAATGTGAGACATTTCCTCAGCTCTAAAAACTACTCTTTTTGTATGAATGCTGTGATAATAATAAAAAAAATTTTGATTTATTTCTCTTTGTCTCAAATTCGTGGGAAATTAAAAAGCAAAAGCTTAGTACTTAAATTCCTTGCCCCCCCCCACCCTTTTTTTTATTTGTTGTTAACTATGTTTTAAAATACTTTTTTTTTAAAGCTTTCTCAATGAAGTAACTTTCAAGTATGAAAATATTAGTCTACCTACTAACATACATGCCAAGTCTCCTGTTTTTAACGAAGGCTCCTGTATTTTACGACTATCTAAGATTACCTCATTTCAACTAAAGAGAGTCAGGTATTAATTGAGGTGTATGAAGTCACATTTTATTCTGAGGCTATTTTCAATTATAAACATATATTTTTCGAAATTTCAATTTGTTGTTACTAGTCTGTAAGTTATTGCACTTTTAGGTGCTCTTTTCGTGAATTTATTTTTTTCCACTTTTTTGTTTATGTAACGATTTTTTTTCCATTGTTGTCGAAAGATTTCCCTGTCTCGAGTTTTTTGTTTTAACTTGATGCCAAAATAAATAAATAAAAATAATAAGAGAAAGACATTAAATGTTCCCAGATTTAAATCATAACATTTATAACGAAATTTTTTAAATATTTTTTTTTCCAATGCCCACCTGGATAATGACCTAGGTCATATAGGCAACTGAAGGGCAGATTTGTTGACCACTCTTTCAGGGGCAACATATTAGGTGGGCCAGCATTGCTCCCACAGTAAGGACAGATAGTACAGAGAAGGAAAGAACATCCATGCCTTGCCCGGGATTCGAACCCAGAAATAAATATATACTATATGTATATATATATATCGTTTATTTTGTTACGATTACATGTTAAAATGTTTTTGCATACAGTTTTAATAACTTTATACTTTTGACACAAAATGATCTTTATTATTTATTTAGAGAGAGAGTAACTTTTCTATGGGGGAAAAAAAGAGAGATACCAGCACAGGACGAAGCTAAGTGCATTAAAACTATCCAATGTTCAACAGAAGCTTTATTAATAAGTGCTATTAAAATTTAAAGTAAATTAATTGAAAAAGTTATGAGTGCACTATTAACAGCTGTCTCCACTAAGTCAACAGTTTTCTTAAATTTCTGTTTTAAATGGTTAAAACGTAGGTAGGTTCATTTGCGTCTTACTAGGGACATTGGGCTATTGGCGACGGTCTGAGCAACAACCCTGAGGATGATCCAAAGACGTACCATCGCAATTTTGATCCTTAGCAGAGAAATCTGCGCGCGAAGTAGATCATTTTAGCAAGGATCTATACCGCACAGCCTCTGTCCCTACGCACTGATCAAAGTGCTCCCCCCCCCCCGCTTACTGACCCTGCTCCCTGGCATTTACTTAGAAGTATATCTTGTAAAGTTCGATTAAAAATTATACTATTTCATAAAAAATTCTATAATACCGGATCGTGTACCCGTAACCGATTCAGCTTGTGCTAATTCGGGGCAGAATTTTAGGATCCGTTACATCTCTAGTACCGATGAATATTTATATATATATATACA